AAATGCAGATACTACATATTTTTTTATATATATTCCCCTCCCCTTCTAGCCCCTTCTAGTAATTGAAATTAAAGACAAAATGGCCGTCTGGGGCTTTTAATTGAACTTAAACTGTACTAACGGCACTGTTTGCTTCCCAGCCAAAACATACCAGCTTTTCCGACCAAACATTTAAATGTGTTTTGTGCTTCGTCACTGTCTATCTCTCTCTCTCTGGAAGACTGGAACTTGATTTCAGAGCAAATTCCCCCTGCCCTCTCTCTTAAGAAGTTGTTAAAGTTTTAGCTCTCTCTCTTTCTCTCTCTCGCTGAAGACTTCTTCCGACTTTATTTCGTTTGGGTATCCGTATCATTTCCTACACACACCTTCTTTTTTTTTTTTTTCTTATTCTTTTTTGTTTTTGTTTTTGTTTTGGCTTTTTTTTTGGGAAGAAAAAAAATCAGAGACTCTGTGGTCTAGAAAGAAGAAGAAAAAACTTGTAAACCACAAAAGTTTGTATTTCAAAGCAACCACATACTGATTCTTTTGTTGTTGTTGTCTTTTGGGGACACAGAGACACTTGGATATCTCTTCTTTTTTTTTTTTTTATTTTTTTTTTTTTTTTTGGTTTGGATTTCTGTATCTGTGCGGTTCATTGTTATAATTATGGGAATTATTATTGTGGTTTTCACTCGACTTGCTTTCGGCTTTTCTGAAGAACTGGTTTCTGAAAAACCAACTCCATTTCTTGATGTTATCGATAAGAAAAGTGTCTAAGAGAGCAAGAGTATATATACTAAAAGATCTTCACTAAATTGCGAATTAATTGAAAACTTTTATTTTTGTTTATTTAAACCAGCAGAGATCTCAACCAGACATATAGACATATAGACAGACATTTGTTTACACCACACCGGTCCCGGTCCAAGATGTGGGAAGCCAAAATAGATGGTGTTATAGGTATGCTGATTGATCTGGAAAATGCTAACTAAACACAAATCAATGATAGATAATATTCTTTATGAACAAGTTCCCACACACTCCACTCCACTCCACACTCCATATTCCAAAACTCTCTAGGATCGCTAAGTGAATCATTAAACAAATTACAAATTAGTACGCCAGTTATAAATAGCAGAAAAAAAAATAATACATGAATAAATAAGCCAGATCGGCTATATACACACAGCAAGGGGATCTCAGAGGGGGGGGTGGTGGTGGTGGAGCACACAATGTATTTACCTCTACAAAGTAGGTAAACATACTGTACATGTCCATCAATGTTGTGTAAATATTGGCGCAGTCAGGCACTGGTATTGGTGGCTCAGCTGCACCACCCACGGGCTGGTGGTGTCTATATAGCCTACTATATAGTAGAGACCCGGTTAGTCAGCTGTTTTCGGCCGACGATATGATGAGTGGGATCCATTCTGGTGAATGGAAATCGAAATGGAATGACTATTCCATATTGCTCATGGGTGGTTTCTTTCGAAAATGTTCTGCAGAATATTGGGAAAGTGGGAAAGGTTTACTCACTGAATCATATAGGAAGTGTATCCCAAAAAGTTCTTGTTTCTAGCTAGGGGTTTGTTAGTTATGATAGGGTATCTTACATAACTCATAGTTGAAGACCTGAAGAAGGGGTCTAAGGATTTAGTATTTCTTAGACTTGCTCAATGAGTTATATAGGAGCTGTATCCCAAAAAGTTCGGTATTACTGAAGGTGATTTATTAGTTATGATAGGGTATTTTAAATACCTCATTGTTATAGGCCTTTAAAACGCTTTTTAGCCTATAAATATTAATACAGCTTGTTTACTGAATCATAAAGAGTCTGTATACCAAAAAGTTCTTGTTTTTAGCTAAGGGTTTGTTAGTTATGATAGGGTATCTTTTATATCTCATAGTTATAGACTTACAGAAGGGTTCTATACATTCAGTATTGATTAGGCTTGCTATTTGAATCATTGACTAGCTGTATCCTAAAAAGTTCTTGTTTCTGGTCACTGCATCATTAGTTATGATGGGTTAGCTACACATTTCTTACTTATAGACCCCTTCTAGCCATTAAATATGAGTTAGGCATGTCTATTAAAACCTATAGAGACTGTATCCCAAAAAGTTCCATATTCCTCTCTATGATCTCTTGGTTATGAATGGGTTCCTACATATCTCATAGTTATAGATGCTTCTAATCATTAAATATTGATATATTTGCCCATAAGAACCCTCCTCCAACCACATACTCCTCCAACCTTGACGTCACTGGGTAAAAGTTCAAAACCCCCACCCCATACCATCCCATTCCATTAATGTTTTTCATTCATGAATGTGGTTTTCAAATCTCCGAAGAAAATAAAAACAAATATAAGGTAGATCGATGCGAGATATTCGATGGGCCGATGTTTAATTCCTCCATTAGCAAGGTAATTTATTTTAATTTATTACATTATGGAAATTGTTTAGCGAAAAGTGAATTTCCAATGAAATCGGCAACGACAACCTAACGAATGTGGAGCGGATCCACGCAGACTCTGGGGGGCTATCTATGTGTGTCGCTAAAAATGCTACCCAAAGAACAGATGATCTTGGCAATGATATATGGGTTATACGGCATTATAGCTTATACATTGTATCCATACATACATATATCTGCAGACAATATTAATTGAGAAAATGTGTAGACTGTCTGGTTGTAAAGTACATATGAACTTAAGTATCTCAAGTAATTTCGCAAAAAAAAGTTGAATAAAAGATATACCAATGATGACTCAACAACTATATAGTCTTGGGAGGTATATATGCATATATGAGATATATGTATGTATATCTGTGTGTTTTGGGCCAATTGACAAAAGTAAAACATGGCCAAATATGTACGAAGCCGGCAAGTGACGTAAGCTCATAAGTAGGGTATTTAAGAGATGGAAACTAGTAATACTCTAGGGGAGAGAATAATTATACTGGTATTAATATAATATTTATTATTAAAGAGTAATCCTTAAGAGCATGATCTGCCAAATCTTTCAAAACCAAATACGGAAATAAAGGAGTGGCTCTATAACGGATATGGTCTGTAACCCGCCATGTTTAGTCATCATACAGCTTTCGGCATGAATCGATCAAGAGATACTCTCCCATAGTACCTCTCCCCCCACACACGCACACTCTCAAGAGAACCAACTTGTCAATCATTTCATACTCCTTTTTCGCAGACTCCTCTTGCTTCCCCACTCTCTTTAACGTTCTCTCTTTATTAATAGTTTATAGAGCTCCCCCCCCACCTCTTTTTCTGCAATGACTGCACGTGTTGGGGCTGCAGTAAGCAACAAAAACAACAACAACAACAACAACAACAAAGTCAACGCCGACAGAGAGGATTTTATTTTTGGGTTTTCTGTATGCTTCTTCTTCTTTATTTGATTTCTTTATGTCTTTCCGATTTTGGAGCTAGGCAGCTATAAAGAGCGTTGCCAGAGGCATGTGAAAGGAAATAATTACTTTATTTGTTGTTTGTGGGTATATGAGTACAGTAGAGGTCATAAAAATAGGGTTTAAAAATATGAAAATAATAAAAAAAATATATATATTTATTTTATTATATTAGAAAATTATTATTAATTCTTATATTTTTTATTAAATTATATTTTATTTTTTTTAATTCCTAAAATCTTAACCTCACTTGCTGGCCTGCATTTCAAACATATTTGGAAATCTTTTTTTTTTTTTTTGAAAGTGTTTGCAAGCTTTTATTAGCCAATCAGCCCCCCACCACCTACCACCCACCACCCCCTTCTATAAACAATAATTAACCGTTAATAGAAATAGGCAGGAAATGCAAGAGGCCGGTTGTAGGTCAAGAAGCCTCCACCTCCACCTTCGGAAAGGTGTAGAGCCATTTACACCTCCGGTCTTGGTCTGGGAGGGGGTTATGTTGCAAGATATAGCGGTGCCTAGCCATGCCCCATAATGGGGCATAATTGTCCAGACAAATCACACACATGGAGAGCTCTGCCAATTGAGAAAGTGAGATCAGTGACAATTATGGCCGCAGAGCTTTAAGCGACCATATCCGATCCGTACTAGTAGTGGACTAGTAGAGACTAGTATATTAGACTAAAATTTGCACATTTAATTAAAGACAATTACTAAATTGGCCAATTAAGACGAAGAGACTCTATTAACTAGAGTACATAGAACTACATGTACATAGACAGGTGCCGCTGCACTTCCTCCTCCACCTCCTGGGTTGGAAAATTCCTCAGAATTTCCCGGCAAGTGTCATTTGAGACAAGCGGCAGCTGCAAGGAGGGGATTTTAAGGATTAGGGGGTATAGCAGGGGTATATTGTTACACTACCAACTAGTCTTCTTCCTTGAGAGAAGGGTATTAGATAGTCGGTAGCTATTCTAGGATGAACTTTTGTGCTCGTTTCTCCAGTTGCCAAAAAAAAAAAAAAAAACAGCCGGATATTGTTGGCAACTGTCGGTGGTTGGTGGTCGCCAGATCGTCGCCAGACTCCCCTCTGGCTATCCAACCTGATTCTGATTCAGAATCAGATTCGTAGAAAATTACATAATAACCAGAGCACCATCACTGCCAAATTGCAACTGCAGATGAGGATAATAATGCAGATGATTTATTTCTCCCCGTATGGGTTTTTCTTAAACAGCGGGTGGTTAATTTTGCTTCAATTTTCGCTGTTTTTCCCCCTCTGTTAGTGTGTGTATGTGTCTAATTTTCTTCGGGAAAACAACATTTCAATTTTGGATTCATTTTCTTGGCCCACCAACAGCGGCAATGTTTCCCGAGGTAGGTCTTGGGTCTTTGGTAGGTCCGCCTACCTGCGAAAATACCTGAAACCCTGAAGGAGGGATGGCGTGGGAATCATTTTTCTTTATTTTTTTGGGAAAATTTTGCAATTACAGGAACGTGTGAAACGGAAGGAAACGTGAGTGGAAGAGGACCCCCGGATAGATTTCCCGGAACGACCACTGGCCAATGGGAACCTCATAACTCACCTCATACGGAAATATGCAGAAACTCGAATCCTTTTATCCAAAATCCTTATCCTTATCCTTATCCTTGCTATTTGCGATCCACACACACACTCACTTATATTTTCCAAGTCGAAGGTGTATATTTTTTTAAATTTTTAGATTTTGAAACATTTCTTTCTTTTTTAATTTTTTGGAATTTTCACATATTATTATTATTTCGGCTTTATATTATTTTGATTTCATATTCATACTTCTCGGCCATGATTTATTTTCTACCTGTGCTTTTTAGTTAAATAAACACACACACAATCAACACACGCACGCACACACACACGACGCGTACGACGAAACGAGACGCAAGACGCAAAGGTAAAGGTGGTAGAGTGTGTGCAAGAAGACAAAAAAAAAAAACGCCAAACGGAACGGAACCAACGGAACCCGTATATATGCACGCGCTCAACGCCCGAATCGCGTCGATTTAAATACTGCACACCACCTTGCCGATATATCTTTCGATTCTATATCTTTTCAAGTGTTCAGCCGCACCTGTGGTCGCCTCGTTTAATTTCGAAAGGTGCTGCTAATTGCTGCCGAATTTTCCTCAAGTCTTCGGACAGTCGCGATGTTACGTTTTATCGTTTGGAGAGAAAATTTTGGTGTGACCAAGAATCCGGGTGGTAGCTGTAGTGTGACCGAGGCCGTGTTGCGTCCAGAGTTGCCTCCACACTTTCTGGTATTTTTTTTCTGTTGGTATTTTTCTTCATTTTTTATTAACCGGTTTAAATTTAACCCGGTTCGTACATAAAACGTTTTCTAGTCAATCTGTTTTTATTATGGATACAGTATTGTATTCCAACTTTATTTTTCTACAAAATTCTAGAATTTTCTTAAAACATTTTCCAGCTTCGAAAAATGCTTATCTGAAACCGGGTAAATTTTTGAAAATCTCAGAAATATAGTAAATATCTAGATAAATGAAGCACTTAAATTAAATCTAGTTTTAGTAGCAAAAAATACAATTAATAGATATGGGGTTAAACAGAAAAAATTATATTAAGCCGGCGCCAAAGTTTTCAAATCATTTTTTTATTTCTAAGAAGTAGGTCAGTCTTCCATTAAATTTAATTTCTTTTTGTTAAATTACTCAAGTTTTTCTAACTTAAATTTAAAGGTTTTAAGTAATATATCCAAAAAGAACAATTGCAATCCACAACCAACCGCAAGGACCTCTAGAAGATCTGGCAACATAGCTCCAAAGACCCCCAAAGACCTCCAAAGTCTGGCAACCACCATTGACTCCGACTATTGATTGAAACAAAAATTTACGCAAATACAACAATTTTTTTGTTCCAATGCAAAGTAAGCCTGAAACCAGCAAATATATTAGATAAAATGTGCAAGGATCTGACGAGTGGCAGGACCCTTCGAAAATCACCGTCTATCCGTAGTTTGGACCAGTCGGTATTTTTCAGTGAAAAGCGGAAGAGTGCCAGTGAAAACGAAAACGCCTACCAATAAGAAAATAAAACTTGTACTTGTCGGAAGACAATAGATGATCTTCTATTTTTTAAAAGCTATCTAACTAGATTAAAATATTTGGAATTGCATTGCAGGTAAACCATAAAAATCCATTGTGAAAATTTGAGGGGTGGTGGGAGCCAAAACGGATACTCAATAGGCCTGTCGTAGTAAAGAGAGCGGACCAAAGAGAGAGAGTACGAGCCAGCGCACTAACGGCACCCACACAGCCACACACCTCCCTCTTTTGCGGGGGAGTCTCAATACACACGCAAGGCAAGGATAAGAGCAGAAAGGCAGAGCCAGAGGAGGAGCAGGAGGCAGGTGGCAGGAAGCAGGCAAGGAGCTTTCGAAACTAGGAAACTAGGATAAAAATGAATCCGGCGGTGGATGCATGGGCGGTGACCCAACGGGAGCGGTTGAAGTACCAGGAGCAGTTCAAGGCACTCCAACCGCAGGCTGGATTCGTAACCGGTGCCCAGGCCAAGGGATTCTTTCTGCAGTCCCAGTTACCGCCACTCATCCTGGGCCAGATATGGTGAGTAGTTACTACAGCCCTACTGACTCCATGAATCACTTCCGGTGTGCTTCGATAAGGGCTTATCATTCGCCAGTCTATTTATCCGGCTTTGCATTCTTTCCAGGGCCCTGGCGGACACCGATTCCGACGGCAAGATGAACATCAACGAGTTCAGTATAGCCTGCAAGCTGATCAATCTCAAGTTGCGCGGCATGGAGGTGCCCAAGGTGTTGCCGCCTAGCTTGCTAGCCTCCCTAACCGCCGAGGGCGGCCAGAAAACGCCATCGATGACGCCACGTGGCTCCACCAGCTCCATGAGCCCCCTAGATCCGCTCAAGAGCATTGTACCACCGTCCGCCGTTCCAGTGGTTCAACCAGCTCCCGTAGTACCCGTTCCAGCGGCTGTCATCTCACCGCCAGGCGGCGTTGTGGACATTACCAAAATTCCGGCCGGACCCACGCCACCATCCAGCAATCCACCAAGTCGCCACATGTCCATTTCGGAGCGGGCGCCATCCATCGATTCACTGTAAGATCCTACTCTTGTTTATCCTTCTTCCGTTCCATATTCTGATCCTCCTTCGCAGGCAAGGCGAGTGGGCCGTTCAAGCCGCCCAGAAGCGCAAATATACTCAGGTGTTCAACGCCAACGATCGGACCCGGTCGGGCTTCCTGACCGGCGCCCAGGCACGCAGCGTTCTGGTCCAGAGCAAGCTGCCGCAAGTAACGTTGGCCCAGATATGGACGCTCTCCGACATCGACGGCGATGGCCGGCTCAGCTGCGACGAGTTCATCCTGGCCATGTTCCTCTGCGAAAAGGCCATGGGCGGGGAGAAGATCCCTGTCACTCTGCCACCGGACTGGGTGCCGCCCAACTTGCGAAAAATCAAGTCGCGGCCGGGCTCAGTCTCCGGAGCTGGTGTAGTGTCACGTCCCGGTTCGCAGCCAGCCTCACGGCACGCATCCGTATCCTCGCAGAGCGGAGTAGGAGCCGTAGATGCTGATCCGTTAGCCGGTTTGCCACAAAGTAAGTTCCAAACTCAGACACCTTAGTAACCAACTTCTAACAATGTTTCCGGGGTGTTCAGCTTCCTTTGAGGACAAGAGAAAGGAGAACTATGTAAAGGGTCAGGCGGAGCTGGATCGCAGGCGCAAGATCATGGAGGACCAACAGCGCAAGGAGCGGGAGGAGCGTGAGCGCAAGGAACGCGAGGAGGCGGAAAAGCGCGAGAAGGCTCGCCTGGAGGCCGAGCGCAAGCAGCAGGAGGAACTGGAGCGTCAGTTGCAGAGGCAGCGGGAAATCGAAATGGAGAAGGAGGAGCAGCGCAAGCGAGAATTGGAAGCCAAGGAGGCGGCCAGAAAGTAGGTTAATCCTAATAGCCACTCCACCCATAAGCTAACAGGTTTTTCTGTGTTTTTAAAGGGAATTGGAAAAGCAGCGCCAGCAGGAGTGGGAGCAGGCCAGGATTGCTGAAATGAATGCCCAGAAGGAGAGGGAACAGGAGCGTGTTCTCAAGCAGAAGGCCCACAACACCCAACTGAATGTGGAGCTGAGCACCCTAAACGAAAAGGTAAGACTATCAGTAGCAAGTCCACACCATCTAATGAGTATCCTCCTCGACAGATCAAGGACTTGTCACAAAAAATATGCGAAACCCGGGCTGGTGTCACCAACGTAAAGACCGTGATCGATGGAATGCGCACCCAGCGTGATACTTCCATGAGTGAAATGGCACAGCTGAAGGCGCGCATCAAGGAGCAGAATGCCAAGCTGCTGCAGCTCACCCAGGAACGAGCCAAGTGGGAGGCCAAGAGCAAGGCCAGTGGTGCCGCACTGAGCGGAGAGAATGCCCAGGAGGAGCAACTGAATGCAGCCTTTGCCCACAAACAGCTTTTGATCAAGCAAATCCAAGACAAGGTGGAAAACATTAAGAAGGAGATCGAATCCAAGCAGGAGGACATCACCTCCAACGACGCTCAAATGGCGGAAGTGAAAAACGAGCTCTCCACCCTGCTGGCCAAGTGCGAGGAACTATACAAGGAGTACGATGTGGAGCGCACTTCAGTGCTGGAATTGAAGTACAACCGCAAGAACGAGACGGCGGCGACCATGAGCTCGGCCTGGGACACGGGCAGCTCCAGTGCTTGGGGAGACACTGGCACCACAGCCGCCCCTGCCGATCCCTATGCCGGGTTAACCAATGACATTGCCGCCGAAGTCGCACCCGCCGTGGATCTCAGTGGACCGGCGCCCGAAGGATTCGCCAAATACCGAGCTGTATACGAGTTCTATGCCCGTAACGCCGAGGAGATCACTTTCGTGCCGGGCGACATTATTTTAGTGCCATTGGAGCAGAATGCCGAGCCCGGATGGTTGGCCGGTGAGATCAATGGCCACACTGGCTGGTTCCCTGAGTCCTACGTTGAGAAAATTGAAGATGGCGAAGCTCCTCCTGCCGCATCCACTGAACCAGAAGCCGTAGCCGAAGTTGCTGCTGTGGCGGACACCTTTAATGACAATATTAGCGCCGCTCCAACTGACTTGAGCGCCGCCGGTGACGTTGAATACTATATAGCCGCATATCCTTATGAGTCCGCCGAGGAGGGCGACCTGAGCTTCAGTGCCGGCGAGATGGTCATGGTCATTAAGAAGGAGGGCGAGTGGTGGACGGGCACCATTGGCACCCGCACCGGCATGTTCCCCTCCAACTATGTCCAGAAGGCAGATGTGGGCACTTCCAACTCGACGGCTCCGGCGGCCACGACTGATGCTTTGGAGCAGGTAAGTGGTTACTTTTTTTTTTTAACTTGTTCTTAGTAGTAATTTGTTTTTTATAATTTTAATATTTAAATTTTTATTTTATTTAAAAAATCCATGGAGATTTAGAAAGAGCTTTGATATTTTTGTACTTACTATTTAGGATCCAAAATGAAGCGAGTGATTTTTTTGCAGATTGAGAATTGAAGAATCTATCAGTTATGTCTTGGGGTATTCTTCTTAAAGATCGGTTGTATATTGGCCAAGATATGACCATTATTGTGGGCCATAGTGTGCCTCCCAGTATTTTAGAGGATTTTTTAAAGGGACACCCCAGAAAATTTAGGAAAAAATCTGAAAAATAATATGTTTGTAGATTTTACTCAAGATTGATGGAGAATCGATCTACAATTAAGGTATTCTTTTTAAGAATCGGATGAATATTGGCCAAGATATGACAATCGGTGTGGACATGGATATGGCATAGTGTGCCTCCATGCATTTTTGAAGGGGAAACCTCAGAAAATTTGGCAAAAAATCTAAATAAAAATATATTGGTTGTAGATTTTGATGTAGAATGGTGGGGATTCGATGTACAGATCCATTAATGTGTTTAGCTCAAGAATCGAATAGAAATTGGTAAAGATATAGATTCGGAGTTCAAAAGTCGATAAATTTCGTTTGTTGCATTGTTAATAGAAACTTTTATCTTTTATTAGATAAGTTTTTGTTATTTATTTTAATTTTGTTTCAAATATCAAAGCCTATTTTCGTAGCCATACTAGTTACACGTTACCCCCGAGTTTAAAACCGTGTCTAACCGCTGCGCTCATGTCCATATACTAATCCAATGCTTTTCATGTGCTGTGCTTTTGCCATCGTTGTCGTTACACTTGCACTTAACCAGGAGGCGACGCTGAATGGCAATGCTGCCTACGCGGCTGCTCCCGCAGCGGAGGAGCCGCAGTTCCCGGAGCTGCAGCAAGAGCAGCAGCCCGTCCAGCAGCAGCTGAGCGAACAGACACCGGCGGAGGAGCCGCACGAAGACCTCGACACTGAAGTCTCCCAGATTAATACACAGTCCAAGACACAAAGCAGCGAGCCGGCCGAGAGCTACAGCCGACCCATGTCACGCACCTCTTCCATGACACCCGTAAATAGTTGACACACAGTTGTCCTGTTGTCCCGTCCTCCATATCTAGTTGGTTCTTACTAATCCTATGCTTGTATTCCCAACACTTTCCAGGGTATGCGGGCTAAGCGATCGGAGATCGCCCAAGTTATTGCTCCCTACGAGGCCACCAGTACCGAGCAGCTGTCCCTGACGCGCGGCCAGCTAATCATGATCCGCAAGAAGACGGATTCTGGCTGGTGGGAGGGTGAGCTGCAGGCCAAGGGCCGACGACGTCAGATCGGCTGGTTCCCGGCCACCTATGTGAAGGTTCTCCAGGGCGGACGGAATAGCGGACGTAATACTCCAGTTTCGGGAAGCCGCATCGAGATGACTGAGCAGATCCTGGGTGAGTTTGGCTCTTGACATATTGAGAAGGTAACTGGATAAATGTATTCTATATCCTTTACAGACAAGGTCATTGCTCTGTATCCGTACAAAGCACAAAACGACGATGAGCTCTCATTCGAAAAGGACGACATCATCAGCGTACTGGGCCGGGATGAGCCAGAGTGGTGGCGCGGTGAGCTGAACGGCCTATCCGGCCTGTTCCCCAGCAACTATGTGGGTCCCTTTGTGACGTCCGGTAAGCCAGCCACCACCAATGGCACCACAAAGCAGTGAATCTCGCGCCAGGAGTTCCAGCTCACTGCTCCTCTAAGCTCTCTCTCTTATCCAACACATTCCATTTATATATAAACATATATATATATATATTTTTTATAATTACTATTATTGCTATTATTTTGATTTCGAATAAGCCATGCCACTCTGTTCTCGCCCTATATTGCTATCGAAAATGAAATCCTCTTATGTTTAGTCCTAATTTGTTGCAATATTTCAAACCAAGATGTGTCTATTTGTTAATTGTGATTATTTAGTATTTAGAACTGATTTAATTTTAAGTTAATTGTTGGCTTTGTCTCCAATGCTTAGTGTTCATTTAAATTGTGTATTTATTTAGAGTGCTTTTTTGTATTTTGTATATAAAGGAAAACCCATTAAATGCGATTTCGATTTCAATTTCAATTTACGTTTCGAACAGGCAACGTATAACGAGCCATCGGCTTTGGCCTCTAAGCGGCACCAGGCACTCCACTCGCTTACACACAAATCCACACGATCCCATCGGGATCTGAGTTATCTTAAGATCAGCAACAGCAACAGAAGCAGCAGCAGCATCATCATCATAATCAGGTCATCCATCTAGTTGGACCATTCTACGAGAGTCTGCCATATGAAAGTTTTTCACGAGAGGGAAGTTTTCTTGAAATTTGGGGTCGCGTAGATAGATCCATAGAATCAAACATTGTTCTCATGTTCGTAACCAATCAAACGAAAGATACAACCGAAATCTAGTAAGACACACATTTTAAAGGATTTATATAGTAATCTGCATATGAAAATCACAGCATAAATAAGTATATCAAATTGCTATTTCGTTGTATTAGATGTGTTTATCGATCGAAAGAAAAAACAAAAACAAAAAATATTCAACAGGTTATTTCCCCCAAAAAATGCTACTACACATACGCATATAAATAGTATATCTATACCGATGGTTTTCTGTGTTTTCCAATAATATCCGAAATATAATTGTACATATATATTTGTCGTAATACGAGAGCATGGCGATGGAGGGACGAAAGGAAGGAATTATTGTTAACTAAATATTAAGCATGATGACCATTCTCAAATATCTAAAAGAAAAACAGAAACCTTTGAAATCATTAAAGATATAGATAATGGGTAACCGGACTACACATATACGGGCAACAGTATTGATAATATATACATATTATACATATAATATATGTATATGTCTTTTTTTCGGGTTAATTGTTTGGTGTACTAATCTAATTTAAGTGCTTATCTCAACTGCCATAATTGTATTTATTTAATGTCTATTGTCTTGTATTGATGAGTGTTGAAATTGTTTGCGATAGTTTATATCTGTATCTGTATCTGAATCTGAATCTGAATCTGAAGCATAGATCTGGATAGAAGGATGTGTAAATTGAGTATGTACAAAAGCCCACTTAGAGAAGAGCCATTCAACTCGATCGGAATGCGACACACACACAAATATATAGGGATACGTTATGCTGTTTATATCTGTTTGAAGCCTAGTTACAATTAGTCTATGTATTACTAACTCACCCATTATATCTACGCTATCTCGTACATATGAAAAGAAACACTCTCGAATGCCTTTCAAAATGATAACCAAGAAAAGTCACCTTACATGGATTTAACTTTAATCGTAACTTGTTATTGCATACCACAACTATATATGCGCCTATAGCTCTATTTAAAATTTAAAAAAAAAACCAATAAAAAAAAAAAATAATAAAACGTTATAGAACCTGCAAGCGTCGATCGGTTGATGGTTTAATTCCAACTGAACGGCGGCTGTGCAGAGCAATTCTAAAAGCATTAAACATAATTATGTAGCTAATGTTGGGTTGATTATTAATTCTACATAAATGTACTAAAATATATATTTAAAATGAACCACGAAACCAAGCATATACATACATACTATATAGCGAAAGTACTAAGATTTCTTTAGACAAAAAATAAAAATAAAATCCAAAGTGTTTATTGAGCTATTCGAGCATTTCGAGTCAGACCCCCCCCATCATACATATTAAACCCTTGCATACATATAATGCTCATATAAGCGTATTTGTTTAATCGTTACAAAAGTTAATTAATGTAAACAAAGCTTAAGAATAACTCAAGAGGAGACAAGACCCTTTAAAAAATAACAAAAAATAACAAATTCTATATGCATTAGCACACACTCACCTACACAGAGACTCACTTTAAACGCGAAATGGTGACCATCGATATATATATAATTTACCTACATATATACAAACCGAGAACCTAAAACCGAGAACCTAAAAACCGAGAATAATACCTATAGAGAAGTGAAACTCATCTTCAGCAGATACTTAATGCATACGAGTATATGAAAGTAAATTCTTAAAACAAGATACCATTAAACATATTGAAATATATCAGTTTCAAACATAATTAGAAAAAAGATTAAAACAAAAAAAAAGAAAACCAAAAATATTAAATTAAATTATGAAAATAACAAATTACACGTATTGGTGCAATAAATGTATAAACGGAACTTCAAAAACAAAACAAAAATGCTTTTATTTTTATTATTTTTTTATGGAATTACTATAGTTGGCCTCCTCTACCTCCCACAGAGTCAGGAAAGCTCAGCAGACTTCAGAGACTTTGGCAGCAGATCCGCCGGACTGAGTCGGAGGCGTCCGGGGACAAGGCGGATGATAACAAAAAACTCCATGGCACTATCCATGCTGTGCACATTGCCAAGCGCAGCGATGGCCAACTCATGGGATGCGCCTATGTCCGGTTCGAGTGCGACGATCAAATGGCCCAGTCCATCCTCCGGGACAGGGGCCACCAGTTGTTGGGCAGAACCGTTGTGGTTGATTGGCGGATGCCCAAGAAACGTGGGTCCTCCTGGCGGTGTTGGTAGTCTTCGGCCCAGGCCCATTCGCTTCCCAAAAAATATTAGTCTTTGTTTAAATTTGATTTGATTTTCTGTCATTAGATTTATTTTTAGTAAAATTTTTTCTTACACAATATTTAAAATCAGTTTAACAATTTAAGTAATTCCGTTTAAGAATCGCCAAAGGGCCAATCCACTGTTTTCTCCATTTTCGAAGGGAGTTAATCAGAAAATTTGATTGCAGATCTGAAAAAAATTGAGTCTGAATATTTTGATGCAGATTAATGGAGAATCGATCCACAAATCGATTGAGGTACTCCGCTCAAGGATCAGATGGAAATGGGCAAAGATATGGGTTTCGCGGTGGGTGATATTGGGCTCCCATGCATTTTCAGCATTTTTGAAGGGGACCCATCAGAAAAATTGACAAAAAAGTGAAAAAATAATTTTTGTCCAGCTTTTGATGCAGATTAATGGAGAATCGAGCCACAAATCGATTAAGGTACTCCGCTCAAGGATCAGATGGAAATTGGCAAAGATATGGCTTTCGCGGTGGGTGATATTGGGCTCCCATGCATTTTCAGCTTTTTTGAAGGAGACCCATCAGAAAAATTGACAAAAAAGTGAAAAAATAATTTGTATCCAGATTTTGATGCAGATTAATGGCGAATCGAGCCACAAATCGATTAAGGTACTCCACTCAAAGATCAGATGGAAATTGGCAAAGATATGGCTTTCGCGGTGGGTGATATTGGGCTCCCATGCATTTTCAGCAGTTTTGAAGGGGACCCATCAGAAAAATTGACAAAAAAGTGAAAAAATAATTTGTGTCCAGATTTTGATGCAGATTAATGGAGAATCGATCCACAAATCGATGAAGGTATTCCGTTTAAGGATCGGATAGAAATTGGCCAAGATATGGCTTTCGCGGTGGGTGATATTGGGCTCCCATGCATTTTTAGCATTTTTGAAGGGGACCTATCAGAAAAATTGACAAAAAAGTGAAAAAATAATTTGTATCCAGATTTTGATGCAGATTAAAGGAGAATCACTCCACAAATCGATTAAGGTATTTCGTTTAAGGATCGGATAGAAATTGGCCAAGATATGGCTTTTGCGGTGGGTGATATTGGGCTCCCATGCATTTTCAGCATTTTTGAAGGGGACCCATGAGAGAAATTGACAAAAAAGCGAAAAAATAATTTGTGTCCAGATTTTGATGCAGATTAATGGAGAATCGATCCACAAATCGATGAAGGTATTCCGTTTAAGGATCGGATAGAAATTGGCCAAGATATGGCTTTCGCGGTGGGTGATATTGGGCTCCCATGCATTTTCAGCATTTTTGAAGGGGACCCATCAGAAAAATTGACAAAAAAGTGAAAAAATAATTTGTGTCCAGATTTTGATGCAGATTAATGGAGAATCAATCCTCAAATCGATGAAGGTATTCCGTTTAAGGATCGGATAGAAATTGGCCAAGATATGGCTTTCGCGGTGGGTGATATTGGGCTCCCATGCATTTTCAGCATTTTTGAAGGGGACCCATCAGAAAAATTGACAAAAAAGTAAAAAAATAATTTGTATCCAGATTTTGATGCAGATTAATGGAGAATCACTCCACAAATCGATTAAGGTACTCCGCTCAAGGATCAGATGGAAATTGGCCAAGATATGGCTTTCGCGGTGGGTGATATTGGGCTCCCATGCATTTTCAGCATTTTTGAAGGGGACCCATCAGAAAAATTGACGAAAAAATGTAAAAATAATTTGTGTCCAGATTTTGATGCAGATTAATGGAGAATCGATCCTCAAATCGATGAAGGTATTCCGTTTAAGGATCGGATAGAAATTGGCCAAGATATGGCTTTCGCGGTGGGTGATATTGGGCTCCTATGCATTTTCAGCATTTTTGAAGGGGACCCATCAGAAAAATTGACAAAAAAGTGAAAAAATAATTTGTGTCCAGATTTTGATGCAGATTAATGGAGAATCGATCCTCAAATCGATGAAGGTATTCCGTTTAAGGATCGGATAGAAATTGGCCAAGATATGGCTTTCGCGGTGGGTGATATTGGGCTCCCATGCATTTTCAGCATTTTTGAAGGGGACCCATCAGAAAAATTGACAAAAAAGTGAAAAAATAATTTGTGTCCAGATTTTGATGCAGATTAATGGAGAATCAATCCACAAATCGATGAAGGTATTCCGTTTAAGGATCGGATAGAAATTGGCCAAGATATGGCTTTCGCGGTGGGTGATATTGGGCTCCCATGCATTTTCAGCATTTTTGAAGGGGACCCATCAGAAAAATTGACAAAAAAGTGAAAAAATAATTTGTGTCCAGATTTTGATGCAGATTAATGGAGAATCGATCCACAAATCGATTAAGGTATTCCGTTTAAGGATCGGATAGAAATTGGCCAAGATATGGCTTTCGCGGTGGGTGATATTGGGCTCCTATGCATTTTCAGCATTTTTGAAGGGGACCCATCAGAAAAATTGACAAAAAAGTGAAAAAATAATTTGTGTCCAGATTTTGATGCAGATTAATGGAGAATCAATCCTCAAATCGATGAAGGTATTCCGTTTAAGGATCGGATAGAAATTGGCCAAGATATGGCTTTCGCGGTGGGTGATATTGGGCTCCCATGCATTTTCAGCATTTTTGAAGGGGACCCATCAGAAAAATTGACAAAAAAGTGAAAAAATAATTTGTGTCCAGATTTTGATGCAGATTAATGGAGAATCGATCCACAAATCGATTAAGGTATTCCGTTTAAGGATCGGATAGAAATTGGCCAAGATATGGCTTTCGCGGTGGGTGATATTGGGCTCCTATGCATTTTCAGCATTTTTGAAGGGGACCCATCAGAAAAATTGACAAAAAGTGAAAAAATAATTTGTGTCCAGATTTTGATGCAGATTAATGGAGAATCGATCCTCAAATCGATGAAGGTATTCCGTTTAAGGATCGGATAGAAATTAGCCAAGATATGGCTTTCGCGGTGGGTGATATTGGGCTCCCATGCATTTTCAGCATTTTTGAAGGGGACCCATCAGAAAAATTGACAAAAAAGCGAAAAAATAATTTGTGTCCAGATTTTGATGCAGATTAATGGAGAATCGATCCACAAATCGATTAAGGTATTCCGTTTAAGGATCGGATAGAAATTGGCCAAGATATGGCTTTTGCGGTGGGTGATATTGGGCTCCCATGCATTTTCAGCATTTTTGAAGGGGACCCATCAGAAAAATTTACAAAAAAGTGAAAAAATAATTTGTGTCCAGATTTTGATGCAGATTAATGGAGAATCGATCCACAAATCGATAAAGGTATTCCGTTTAAGGATCGGATAGAAATTGGCCAAGATATGGCTTTCGCGGTGGGTGATATTGGGCTCCCATGCATTTTCAGCATTTTTGAAGGGTGATGGAAATTTGATGGATATTTTGATGGAAATTAATGGAGAATCGTTGATTGGCAGATGCCCAAGAAACGCGTCTTCTCCTGGCGCGGTTGATAGTCTTCGGACCAGACCCATTCGCTTCCCAAAAAATTAGTCTTTGTTTAAATTTGATTTGATTTTCTGTCATTAGATTTATTTTTAGTAAAATTTCTTCTTACACAATATTTAAAATCAGTTTAACAATTTACAATTCTTTCTTTCGATTTTCGCATCGTGTTGCTTGAATTTGGAAATTTTATTTTTTTTCTTGTTTATTTTGCGCTATCAGTATTTATTTATTTAATCGTATTTGAAATATGCACAACTTAAGGCCTACGGTATGAAAATTGCAAACACCTTAGTCATCAATTGAATTCCAATTTTATTTTTCCTAAGCAAGTAATTTATGAGCCAGTGTCCAATATATAAACCAAGGTTATATAGAAAACAACCTGCTCACAATGTAACACAGCTCTGATTTTGGTTTTTTTTTATTAATTTATGTTTTTTTTTTTGTTTTTATGAAAAAAAAATTATTTATTGAAATGACAATTTTCAAGACATCGTGTATCTTGTAGCTGTTTATTGTCTTTTCGATACAAATAATAAGAATGCATTTTTATTTGATCTGGTGTGCATATTCAGAAGGCAATTTCTTGGATAGAACATAATACTTAAATAGTAGGTAGATGGTCAAATAAAAAGTTGGTACACTAAGCCAGTTGCTCATGAGTTAGAAAAAATATATATTTATATAGTTTACATTGATCGTAGTAGGTAGGTATGTGTTATATTCCACGACTCGCCCATTGGTGGTCCTGCGAATAATTTTAGGTAGGTAGGTTCCAGAGTAAATTTAACTTCTGGATATTGGCTATAGTGTTTCGGTATCCTTCTAATTCATTCTCAGATCTAGATCAGCATAGTGTATTTAGTTACCTAGGGTGTAATTTACACGTTTCTTTGAGCATATTATTATTTTAGCTTCATACTCGATCCGGGTTAGCTCATTCCTGGTGGTCATACACACAAAAAAGTTCACAAAACTCTCGTTCTAGTTATTACCATTATCGTTCATAAATTTTTATAAAAATAATTTATAAATTACATAACTCTTTCCATTTACCTTTCGTCTATTAGTTACTTGATTTGTGTATACTATATATTTTATTTTAGTTTAGGTCAGCGAAAGCCTTTCTCAGAAATGCCAAATGAAATTGCTTCTGAAATCGTTCAGTTACAGTTTGGAAAAAATTTTCTGTTTAAAGGTTTTTAGCTTTGACTCTGTGGCTATGAGGAAACTAAGGACCTAACTCTTAACTAAGGCTACAATTTAACTAAACTCTGATTTTTTTTGCTACTTTATCGAACTAAGTACTGCGCTTAAGTACCTATTGCAACACACTGCAGTAATGTGATCTCAAATTAGTACATATTGCCTAAACTAAAAACAACAAAAGTTAGTTAGTTAAAGGCTTAATCTGAACTTTGGCTATGCGCTGTTAATTTTTAAACAATTTTCTTTCTTCTATTTTGGAACACATCATCTGTAATCACTAATTGGTTTTAAATATATGTTTGTATATATAATATAAGTATATGGTACATAAGGATAACAATTGCTCGGGACCCTAGCACTCTAAACACAAACTGGAAGTTAAAAAGCGACCTAAACGATCAAGAAGAAATCATTTAGTTCATAATTCATAATTGGTTTCTTTTTTTTATATACAATTTTCTCTTTTTTGTCAACTATATTTTATCTACACTTTTGTCCGAATTGGTTTTCCATTTTTTAATAATTATAAAGCTTTTTGTTTTAAACCGTTTCGGGGAAAAACTATTTAGCAGCTCCTGGCCAACTTTTGGCTTACAAACTAGTCATACAAATGGGGTTAGTAGAACATCTCGTACTGGAACAGCCTCCGGCGCAATCGCTTCGGTTGGCGAGATGGTACTGGGAGGGAATCGTCCTCCAGATCCTCCTCCACATCGCCATCCGTGCTCGAAACTCAAATGATGCTCTCGTCGTTGTTGCGGGTCAGTCGGATGCTCGTCGTGGTGGTGGTGGCATCCGATCCGGAACCAGGACTGGATCCGGGTCTCCTTACGCCCGGAGCTGCTGGCGTGGTAAAGGTGGTGACCACAATGTTCTCGTCATCGTACAGATCGAAATCCTCGTCCTCGTCGTCATCATCCTCGTCGGAGTCCGTTTCGGAGTCCTCGTAGTCGAGGAGGGCTTTGGTCACCTGATTCTTCCGCCCGCCCAGGCTACCAACTGCCCCGCCCACGGCACCGGCGTTCATGCGTCGTATCTGGGCGCGGGGCGTGTTGGAGGGGCGTGGCAGGAGCGGTTCCCGCCCGCTCCGCATCATTCTCTCGCTGTTGGCCCCGCTGGCGGCGGACAGAGGTGCTCCGTCCCAGTCATCCGAATCCGCCGGCTCGCAGAGGGACTTGGAGTGGCCATGCTGGTACGACGACTCCTCGGGTATAGTGTCACTGTGGTGGTAGTGGTGGTGTTTGTGTTTGGTGTGTGTGTGTGTGCGGTGGTGTTTTGGAGGTCGAAGGTGGAAGATGACGTGAGAAAAAGGCGTAGAAAGTTAATGTCAAAGTTGTGATAAATTTTGGTCTAATGGATTATTGGGTTTCGGTTTTAGGTAAATGTTAGCATGACTCTAAGATTAATTTAAGTAATTTTAAGAAGGTATTTCTATAAAAAAAAAAAAAACTTAGTTCTAATAAAAAGTAATAGTAGTCGGATAAGCACATTTATTTCGAGAACTACAAAAAGCAAATTATAATGAACCGGATAAAGATATAAAGATACAGGATAAGCGTATAAGAAGGACGTGTTTAAGGCACAGTATAACACTTCTAATATACATTTAAAATACGTATTAACTACCATAACTACAATACAATTTCTTTAAGATTAACGAGTCTGTCCGCTGTAGTTTCAAGAATTATTCAAGATTCGGGATTAGCACAGGATGTGGTTAGGTTTAGGGTTAGTAGTTATATAACTGTTATACGTACAGCACTTTTAAGAGATACTTTATCTGATATACTTACACATAGTTTGTGTGTTTAAAGCCGTTTTAGGAAACACTTTTCGTTTAGATATACTAGTTTGTGCTTAGCGGAAGTTACTTAAGCACAGGTGCTTAACTGTATAACAGTTTTGGTGTCTGTGTGTGCATTTGTGCATGAGTGTGCAATTATGGGTGTATTTGTGCATTTAGCGGATAGTTTTAGCTTAGTGGTTTCTGGCCCTGGGCTCGTTACGCTTTTTGCTAATCAGACTCAATTGAGATGCCGCTAAAAATATAATTTTCATAGAATCGTTTACCAATTTGTATCATTAATCAGTTATTAGTTGTTACTTGTTAAAGTTATCCTTTTGGAATTTATTTTTAATATTTTGTTTGGAAGATCATCACAGAAACAAAGAAACACAGCACAGCAGACATCGTAGTTTGTTAGGAAATTGCATTGTATTTGTTAGTTGTGGATTAATATTTTAGTAGGGTTATAGTGGAAGCTACGAAAAGTGTGGAAATATAGGCACAAATAACACTAATAATGTAGAAGTGCAAACATAAAGATCAATGTTGAAAAAATTGAAGTAAAACTAAATAAAAAAAATGTTTTCTAACGTTCTGATATCAAAGTTTGGATATAATACTGCTCATAAAACTTTTAAACCATTTAAATGCGTGCTAAAAAAAAAATAAATTATATAAGAACAGCCCAGCTTAATTATAATTCAGTTAGTGATTCGACTGGCCAATTAATATTTGAATTTCTAGAATATTTACAGTGAAGATTCTAAGTTGGTAGATACAAGTGTAAAGCTTGAATCGAATTGTATTCAGAGGAATCGATTTAAGGAAAAGAACAACCAATTCCAAGATGAAGAGAGATCGTTTGCAAAGTTGAACCTACAAGTACTGACTGTAACTCTACAATAATGATATGTTCTGGATCTGATCTGTGACTGCATTGTACAGTAAATACATGTCCTATATATAATATATAGTATAGGGTGGTGGTGGTTCGTGTTGTTAGTATCTAGAGTAAATATATGTAATTGTTTTACAAAGTTTTCGAAATTCGTTAATGGCCGGTTTGGGTTTCTCAATAGACATTTTGATATCGGTTCGGTTTGATTTCATTATTACTTTGGATAGTATGTGTCGCTATCCTCCGATCTCGGGGAGGCTGGCGTCGAGTAAGTCACACTGCCTGATGTTGTATCTGTTGAATTGTTGGTGTGGTTCTTGGTGGTAGATGGACTTGTTGATGTTTTCGTTGTTCTTGTTGAAGTAGTAGTAGTAGTAGGAGGAGGTGGAGGAGTAGGACTTGTGATCTTGGCTGACTCTAGTAAATTAGTTGCTCCTGGACTAAATTGCAAAATTCTACTGGGCCTGCGTCCAGTTACAATGAGTCTGTAAAATACACACATCACAAGGTAAAGCCACAGACGGGACTCAAGTACAAAACACCCACAGAGACAAACAAATTATTTTTGTTTTTAGTGAGTGTGCGCAAAAAATTGGCAAAACTAAGTTTAAGCAAAATTTATTTTGCAAAATTGCGAAGGGAGGTGCTACAAAAGTAAGGCTTCAGGTGATTTTTAGCAACATTTCAAAGGCTACTGGAAGGGGGAAGTTTTTCAGGAGCTAAGTTCTTATGTTTTTCTAATTTTTGGGACAAAAATCCAATGGTATTTCAGATGGTTTTGGGCAAGGACTGCGTAGGCAACAAAAAGTATGTTTATTGCAACATAATTTCTTAATATAATTATTTATAAAATTTATAAGCAAAAAGCAAAATTGTATTTTTTTCTCTAAGTTTTAAAAGCTAGCTACAAAATAAAGTAAATATTTTAAGCGAAAACCCCAATGATAAATCGTATTAGTAAGCTTTATTATGAGATTCAAATGGGTCTTGTTAATAAATAAAAAATGCAAAAACCCATTTAAATAATAAATGCAATAAAAAAAAAAACAAAAAACAATATCAATGAACACAGACAATAATACAACTGACAAAAATTTACATTGAAACTTACCCACTGAGCTCCAGCATGGAGCCTCTGCGCACATTCCGTCGATGACTAGCCGTAACCGGAAATGGACCGGAATGGCCATCCGGACCGAGTTGATGGGCTCCGGCGCCCAGCGAACCGGAGGATATCGACTGCGAACGCTTGTCCAGACGGGGATTGTGCATCGATGTCGATGGACCCGGTAGACCACCCACCGCCGGCGGTTGGATGGCTTGGGAGGAAGGCACAACCATGGGATCCGCGCTGCTGGCGGCGGCATCCACGGTACCCGTGCTGCCGATTCCGATGCTGCCGGCCTTGGAGCTGGAACTCTCACGCCGGAAGAGACCTATGACGGACTTGGGCTGTTTAGGCTTGTTTATACCACCTGATTGTTTATTATTTTGTATTTTTCACAGTTTTTTTTTTTACAGGGCGGTGGTGATGGGGTGGTGTGGTTCGTGTTTGGTGTGGTTTTTGGGTGGTACGTGGGCGTGGGCAACAGTTACCGAAGAAGAAAAACAATGCGGGAAAAAGAGAGAAAGAAAAAAAGGAAGAGTTAAGGAAAATCACAACAAAATCAACAACAAATCAGTGTAAACACACAGAAAACTGAGGTGCAATTTTGACCATCGAATCGCGGTTCTGTCACTGGTGCTCTTAATAGAAACAATTAAACTATATATACACTTTTACAATATAATTGTCAGATTGTTATATTTTACATAAGAGTCCTCACAGGACATTCCAGTTAAGACATCCGAAATTGCCAATTTTTTAAATAGTAATCAACTCATAGTAATATTCAATGTAAGAAGTATAATTCACAGGAGTGAGCCCTTTCATAACCCTTTGAAAACTGTTGTGTGTTTTGTGAGGAAGCTCTTTCCTCGACCTTCTATAGACTTTCCCAACCCTTTCCAAGCTTATACATTACCTAGGAATGTTGCACTGGGAGAGTTGTAGGCCAAGTATTCCTTGTTCGAGGCCCAGGCAGGAAACTCGTTCTGCTGCACTGCATCCGTACATTCATCGCCTTGGCGTTTCCACGGCAGCTGGGATTCCGTAGCTGTGGGAGTGGCCACTCGCCTTTCTCCATCAGATTCGCGAGAAAGGTTGCGATCCTCTTCGGGTATCGGATGCTCAGCCACTAAATTGCAAAAATAAAATTATGAAAATATTAAAATTAAAGAACCTATTTTTTTTATTAAGAAATCATTCTATTGGCTTGGCTTTTTGCATGCAGCACACAGTTTAAAACTGCTATTTTCGCATTTAGCTGTTGATTGCCATGTGGGGGCCAAATCGGGGATATGGTCAACAGATTTGAAACATAAGCGCAGTTCTTGGTAGAGGAACACAGTCAAACGATAGAAGACAAACAAAGTGCGCCCAACTAAGGGGGAAATCAGGAAAAGTATAAAGAAAATAAAGAAGAAAAACCTAACATTTTCCTAAGAGTTTGAATGGGATATGTATTTTTAAGAAAGCTTTGAATCTTTAAATATAGACATGAAAATTAGTTTATCAGTTTTTCTATCAATGCTTAGTTTTTTATAACCAGATAAAATTTTTTAAAAAATAGTTTGAATATTTAATATCGCCAGAAAAGGCAAAGAGCCATATAGTAGCCGAATAGTACAATATATATTTTTAAGATCTAAAAAAGCAAAATCACTTTATTATTCGACCTCAAAACTCTTCTTTAAAAAGACTTACAGACCTATTGGATTTCTTATTTATATCCTTTAACTTTTAAAACTTTTTAAGGGACTGAAAACTTAAAAGAAAATAATTTTATAAAAATTTTGTCATGCACAAAAATGCCATGCTTTGCTTGGATGTTTCATCATATTTGTTGGTTGTTTTTTTAATCATTTTCAATTAATTGTTTTGACGTGACTTTTCAAATTGGTTTTAGGTAAGTTAATGTGAGCTAAATGCAAGTAATTTCGGGCGTTGGCATTACTAACTTTCAACTGCATACGTGGACTAGAATTATCTACGGATCAACGTTAAAAATTGCCTTCTACAAGTGATTTTACTTCAACGACGCACGAACACAATGTAATATGATAACTAATTATAAGATGGGTAGCTACATCTATTGCAACACTTAGCATGTCTAATATTTTTTATTGTTTAGGGTTTTTTTTAATTGAGTTAACAAAATAATAGTAGTATTTATAAATTCAACTTAAAAATACTGATCAAATCGCGAAAGTGCTGAGCACAAAATACGATTAATAGAATTAAGCTCAAGGCGCTCTGTAAACGATTTAATGACTGTCATTAATTTAGTTCAAAGCACACGCAATTGATGGGGATGGTTAGGTGTAGATATGATTAAGGTTATTCACAAAGATTATAGTTTTTTTCTGATACAATCTTCTAATACAATTTAGTCATATGAATATGGTTTATTGCTTTTTCTTGATGTTTAAATTCTAAATAACTTTAGATATCCTTGTATCTGTAATCCTAAGATTCCTATCTTTCATTTTGACAATAAAAATGATATATAAAGAATTATGAATTGAGGCCTTTTATGAATGATGAGTGCATGAGATATACTGAGAGCTAATTAGCATTCAATATCGATTGCTTTTAGATGTCTGGGCTGCTATTCTATATTATTGACTGTGAGTGGTATGATGGTGATCTGGATGGTTGGATATCTCTTTACCAATGCTCTGGTATGAACGGTCCCGCCGCCAAGGCAATATCAACTCGGCCGCCGTGGGCCCAACGGGCGGATCCGGGGAGTCTAACTCTGGCTCCGGACTATCGTCCACCTTGGGCGCATAGTGCTGGACAACGATGCGGGCCTTGGAGGCATCAAAACCGGGAAGGTTTTGGATGTGGGCTATCAGGGAATTGTTATTGGCGCGATCCGAGTCAGCTAATTGTAATTTTTTTATATATATATTTTATATGTGTATTTTCATATTTATTTTGTAATTATAGTTTTTTTTTTGGGCCCAGAAACATTTTATAGGTTTTGTGTTTTTTTTTTTTTGGTTGTGATAGTTTTTTTTTTTGTGGAAATAATTGGGAAGGCATAAAACAAGAAAAAAATATATAGAAAGTTCGTTGTTATAGCGTTTATTGAAATCTCCTTAAGAGGTAGGATAAAAATAAAGAGAAAATAACATAAAAGTAATAGAGTGGTTAGGAAACCGAAAAGGACTAGCAAGAAAGCTTTCTCCAAATGAAAAGTAAAATAAAATATAGTTTTAAGACATTGGCATTATTTATAAATATGTATAGTTACCTACTAAAAAAACCTTGTTCAGTCATTCAACTGGGCTACTTAACTAATCGACTTATGTACAGAGTTACTTGTAAAACCTTTTGAAGATACCTTTCATTATCGGCAACAAAAAAAAATAGAGTTTAATTAAGTGATGGCATTTTTGTGGCATTTTGAAACAAAACAAACAAGTCGAACAAGATTTTGGTGGGTGGAGGGTGGTGGCAGCAACCAGGATATGCAAAATATCAGATATCGCCATATGACTGCTGATTTCAAAACTGGCCCACAGGACCAACGAGAGAAAGGAAGAAAAGTGTCGATATGTGGAGAAGTGACCGGATAACCATCTAAGGGTTGCCCTCTTAGCTCAAATGTTAGTAACCAAATAATAAGTTTTGTTAACAAATACACAGATAGTCGATGGGCAGAGAGTAAAGAACACTTACGTGATGATTTGGCGGTGAAGGTCAGGCCGTCATCCCAATCGTCGCTGGGGCCAACAACATTGATCTCGTTGGGGTTCTGTTGGCACTCCTCGGCTGTTTCGTTAAGCACATTGTTAATATAGTCTTTAAATGGTTTATTAATGAAGTTTTTTGTTAACAAATGATGTGGCACAGGCACGGGGCATGGAGCAGAGTGAGTGTTTGGATTAGTGCACAAGTTTTGAATCATTTTTTGGCCAAATAGTTAAGGATTTGTGTGAGTTTTTGTGAGTGGCATCAGTTTGGGGGAAGAGCGATGCGGGAAAGAAAGAGAAGGATTTTTTAGAAAACAAATTAGTTACCAATTGGGTAAAAATACTATTTAAAATATTTGCAGGTGATTCAGAAAAGAGTTTAAAACTCCTTCTTCAAGCACATAAATTTTGAAAATAAAATAAAATTTGTATTTTAGTAGGGTGCTTTTTTTATGGAAACTGAAGATCAAAAGGTTTTGTATGTGGGGTTAGTTTGACGCATGGGACTAGTTTTTTTAACTTAAAATATACTACACGCTTCACTACAAACTAAGAATTTAAAAAATAAACATTTTTATAATGTTTCAAACATTTCAAACGAACTCGTTCACTTTCTGATCTTTTTACAAAAGGAAAAACTTAAAAACATTAAATTATATGAGAGAAAACTCTACAATTTTTCTTCTCGTCTGAAACAAAAAGCTGATTGATTAAAATTTTTGCTGATTTTAGCGTCATTTACCTATTTCTAATCTACGATATTTTTTAAGTGAATTGTGAGTATGTCTTTTTCTGTAAGATTTTTTTCTTGAATGGTTTGAACTCGAATTCGTACCATTGGTGAGCTGCTTGGTGGTGCCGTTCTGTTGAAAATCATGGAAAGAGACATGATTTTGTTTGACATTCTCCTTGGGCTCCTAAAGAGATTATTTAGATAGAATTAGAATTACAAAATAAATTATTATTGACAAAAAATTACCTTATTGCTGGCACCACGTTTGCTGCGCTTGTGATGTTTCCGATCATTAAACATTCGCCGGAAATTCATTTGCATCTTATAATTGACCTGAAAGAGAGATATATTTTTAGTTTTTATGGCTCTCTCTTTTTAAGATTAAAAAAATCAAGTTGGTGACTTTTTTTGGTTTTCTAGAGATTTGCCTCTGGAATGTACTCACCTGGGTGGACAAATCTCTGTCATCTACTGCGTGTCGGCTATAACTAAGACGACGGTGCTGTAAAACATTGATGAAGGCAAATTAAATTTTAAAATCATAAGGAACCAGCACAGTGATGTAAGTAGATAAATGTAGCTTAGAAGATACTTTAATTGCATTAAAGGACTGTTACAAATAAGTAGTAGATTATATTATATATAAAAAGTAGGATTAATTTGCTGTTAACTAGCAAAAACATGAACGGATTAAGTGTCAACGGCTTTCCATAAACATTTGTACATCTTATAGATAGAGATATAGATTAGCATTAATATAGTGCTGATCCTGAGTAAAAATTCTATCCCCTTTCTGAATATCATATCGACAAGTATGGGAACACAACAGATATTGTCAAATAAACAATTGTTTTCGTGTTCTATTTGTTAAAAGTATTAGACAAAAAATCAAAGTGCTTCATTCAAATTAAAAGTGTAATGTCTAAATAAAAATATATGTCTAAATATATGTATTTTTTTTTAATTTGTGTCATTTGTAAGTGTAAACATTTATGGTTACGATACACATTTACATTATGCAAAGTCATAAAATAAGATTTAAGATGCTTTGTTTAATATATTTAAAAGTTAATTCTACATTTTATAAAACAGCCCTGCCCAGATTTAAAAAAATATTTATAAATGTTTTATAAAGTTCTTTAAAGGTAATTTTTTAGATTTTGAGAATATTATAACTGCAAGGCAACAGGAAGTTGGTACATTTATTGATTAATATTTCTTGCATTTACTTTCGAAAGAGTTAAACATTATATTTAAGCTTTAGTTTTTAATAAAAGTTCATTCGCAATAAATAATAATTTTAGTTTAGCATTGAGATTAGGTTTGTTTGGAAATTATTGAAACACCAATTAGAGAAACATTTAGGAAATGTAACTAAAAGATTTTGCAGTCAAAGAGTACAGACACAACGTGTAACATTTAACAAAGTTTCCATTAGTTAATTCGAAAGGAGTTTATCAAAATTAACCAAGAAACAGATGAGAATAAATTAAACAGAAAACGAGTATACCAATTTATTCGTACCATTTGTATTGAAGCCTTTTTAACGCGATTATTGTTTTTATAAATTGAATTTTTGTTTATTTTTGAATGGTTAAATACACAAAAATTTGAAGCGATTTTTTTTTTGTTTGATTTAATAAGACACGTTGTCGCGAAGTCGATGTTGAGTTTTGAAACAACGGGAAAGAAATTAAATAAACGATTAATCACAAATATAGCTATATGGAAATTATCATCTATTAGGTATGTATAGTCAGCGGATATGCCATCATAAAAATATATAGAAGCTGATAGAGTGTGAGAAACGTAAATGCCCAAATTACAAAAAACGGAACAGAATGTGAAGATAGTACAGTAGAACTCGGCATAAAGACTCTTGAGTGACTTTAGAGCAAAGAAGTGGTGATATTTAAAGAAATTGTCAAAAGTTTTGGGCTGTGAAATAGTCTTGAGGGGTACGCTATAGAATATCCAACCATAAGTTGATTATTACAAAGAAAGTGAATTGTAAAAATAAATATATCTAATTTACATACCCTTCTATAAGGCTTCAGTTCTTCGGCCAAGAGATGGTGGATCTTGGCATCAGTCAGATCCTTTTTGGATGGATTATAATCAAGCTCAGCCATATCCAGATTGCGGGAACAGGTATTGTCAAGATTTGTCAGGCTGGGACTAAAGATTAAAAGAATATTAGTATCAGTTTTGTTTATTTTTAATTAAAGATTAACTCTATATAAAAGTTAAAATCAAAGAAGTGGTTAAACGAATTTTAGATATAGAAGATAAAGCAAAGATCTATATACCAGAGTTGTCACAATAATCATTAACAGGGCTATTGTAGATTTAATTTAAAAATATGTATGTATTTTTCACAAAGTGATAATAATTTACCAAATATTTAAAAACAACCTCGAGATTTTTGTGACACCACTGTCTTGGTTCGTTTAGTTATTGGCCAATTGGGTTATTTAACTAAAGATTGTGCAGTTCATGCTACATTTCCGGTTAAGAAACTACATCAAAATTTGGAATACAGTCGTACTCGTACTCATGCAATATACGATATTATTTTAAAATTTTTTTTTGGGTGAGTACACAGGCAAGATACATCGTTAATCGTGATTCGGATCAATCCAAAATTCGTTTACCAGGTGGTGTATATGGTTGGCGGTGCCCACCTGCCGCCAATATAGTTATTGGTATAATTCCGGAACAGGGCGCTCATCGACTCGGTGCCCGTCATCTGGCCAATGGTGGAGGGATTTCGTCTCATCACCTCCATGGCATCGCGCATTGTCAGTTTGGAATAGGTCTCGATGATCTTCGGCTCAGCGCCCTAATTACGGATTAAATGCAATGAAAAGTAAAATATATTTTTGATTTAAGTTAACAATGGCTTTGGGTTTCATCGGAAAGATTTTTGGAGGACTTCCGTTTGCTTGAAAAATTGTGAAAATGCATTCGGTGCTTTTGGTTCAATTCTCGTTCATAGTTTTGCATGGGTATGTGGTCCAATAAGTGAAGTTCGTTCACTTCCTGAGTGGCAGGCGAGGTTTGTTGTTAAGTGAATATATAGTATTTCTCCCCCCTTTCTAACCCCCTTAATTTAAGCTGTATTACGAAATATACCTTTAGATCTCTGATCAGCAGAGGGCGAATGAAGCGATTGTCGAAACGCTTGAATTTATCACGCACATTGTAGTTGCCTGTCTTGCCCACAATATCCTCAATGCCAGCCATCAAGTGATCCATGAACTAAATAAATTTATAAATTTAATAAATGCAGTTGTAAGAAATGAAATGTATAACTCACTCTTTCATGAATACGCTCGTTCATGGTTGGCTTGCGTTTATTGGCTCGCTTCACATTCAGGATCTTCACCAGCGGCTTGATGGTGATGCCTTGCAGGAAGACAGTAAAGTAGATCACAGCTATTGTGGTGGTAACAAACATGTTCTTCTGCTTGACCACATTCTCATCCACCAACAGGACCAAGGCAAAGGCAACAGCACCACGCAATCCACCATAGGACATCACAAACTGATCCACTCGCGATAATTTATGCAAGCGGAACCGATTGGCAAGGGCCGATAGCAGAATTACTCCTAAAAATTACAAGAAAAATATATTTAAAATGTATTTTACTAATATCATTTGATAAAGGTTACCTATCACACGAAACACTGAACAGAAGGCGATGGTCAGCACCACAAACCACGTATTCCATACGTGCATATTGTTCACCGTGGCCACGCCTAGGAACATAAAGATAATGGTCTCCGCCGAGCTGGACAGCATTTTCAAGGCATATTTAACAGTCGTGTGGGACTTTTGGGATATATTCGATTCCACATAGTTTTTCATTGTGATGCCACAGAATGTGATGCTATTGGAGGAGGCTTTATAAGTGAGAAATCCTAAATTTTCGTTTAAAATAAAAACTTACGCTAAGATACCGCTCATGTGGAAGATTTCCGCATTGAGGTAGGCCAGATAGGCCATCACGAAAATGAAAATGGGTTCTATGACTCGAACATGATCCGTAAAACGTGTGACTAGGCCAGTAAGGAAACCCCAGATGATGCCTGAAAAATAGTTTAAATTATATTCGTTTCAATAAGAATACAATTGTTAACCCACCTATGGCAGTGCCTCCTAGGGCAACCACAAAGAAGGACCCCACTCCACTGGCTATGTCCTGGGCAATTATCTTGTCTAAGCCAATCTCGTTGTAGGACTCCATCATGTGGTACATGACAACCTGTAGTGAAAGATGAGCCGAGTTAATTTGTGGACTTAATTTCGCCAATATCCGTGACCCAACCCTTAACTTACCGTAACGGCATCGTTTAGCAAGGACTCGCCAAAAACAACAATGTACAGGATCTCGTTGACATGTATCTCCTCGAACACGGCCAGCACAGCCACCGGATCTACGGCGGATATGAGGGAGGCGAACAAAAAGACGTCCATCAGTCCCGGAGTCTCACTTTCCCCGTAAATGCCAAAGAGGCCACAGGCGTAGAGGGAACCACCTTATTTTTTGAGAGAAAAATGGAAAAATAAGAAAGAAAATCCGTGGATGCAGCTGGCTGGTAAATCGTTAGTCGAGTGCATGTAATTTATTTTCCAACCCATCAATTTCCCGGAGTACTTGCAAGACTTAATTAGATACAAGCTACATGGCCATTCAATTGCAGGCATTCTATGGCATTGACATTGCAGTTGTTTTATTTTTGTTTATTGTTTTTCAAAAAAGTATCTTCAAGTCACTTAAGTCAATTGATAAGCGTGCTCTTCCAAGAATAATTGAATTTGTTACGACGCAAATCGAGTGTTTGCAAAAATACATGTTTTCTCTTCAGTAACTAAGGGGTTTGTCAGGCAGGGACAGGAAATCGGGAATACTTGGGATAATTACATAAAGAATTCATAAGTGAAAATTAAATAAAAATCTTGTCTCTGAAAATAAACCAAAATTCTATCTAAGTAATTCCAAGCCCTGTCTTACATAAAATATGACTAGAGGAAAAGGAATTTTCGCTTTTTTTTTAATGAATCGCCAGAGATAAGTTAACAGCTTTGTCCGCTAGTCGTGATATGTAATACAATTTGTTCAGCATAAGTAATTGCCAAGTTCTTAATGGCTAAGAGGGGGAGGGGGAGACTGTGGCAACTCGAGCGTGTATCCCCTTCGCGGTCATTCATCTAACTGGCGTTTGTCGGCCACCCCCCTTTTCGCCGCCTCTTTATCCGACTTTTATCCCCTTTTGTTTGCCATTGGAGCACATCATCAACATCAGCGGCAGCAGAGTCCACATCAATCGCATGCTTTGTTACATTTTGTGTAAATCCCATCTAATCGGTCATCTAGTTGGGGCGGCCAGACCACGCCTCTTCGCGTGCCCCTAAAATTATATAGATTTGTGGCTTTGTTTTGGGATGATTCAGCTTCTGTTTACTCATCTACATCAGGTGTCTAATTGCCAACACTTATTGCCACCTTTTGTTACCTGGGCTGTCTGTTGACAAAGTCTATTTGTCGAGTTAGAGCCACTACAAAATATAATACATATTTGACAAGCTACTTGGCTTTTAAAGAAGCTGTCGAACACGTTTCAATATTTACTTGTGAAGTGGGACTAGTTCTTAACCTTTTTAATCAAGGAAACTGTAATGTAATTGACCCATTCCTTTGATAGAGAAAAAAATATTGACCCCCGACTATAGGAAACTCCAAAGGACAATTTCCAATGACCATTTTGTTTGTTTCTTTGTATTGGACGGACATGGATGGATGGGATTACATAAAATGTGAATGGCCCAGGGCCAACTAACCCCGAACTCGGCCACCTTTGTTTATTAAGCCATCAACTAAACGACAAGTCTAAACGAACAGGACAGCACATTTCGCCCAAAGGCTAGGCAGGAATGGAAAATCCATCTCGGATTTCCTCAACTTACCGATGGTGGCAATATTGAAGATGGTTCCGACCACCGCCATCAGCAGAATGGTGCCCAGGTTGTCGAAGAACAATCGATTGGGCATAAAGTAACCGGCGTCCAGGATAATCGGCGGCAGCATATAGAAGAAGAAGGTGTTGGGGGTCAGCGGGGATACGGCGACATCGGTGCAGAAATATAAAACCACACCAATCACCACACCCACGACAATCAGCAGGCACGACTCCGGAAATATTAGATGCAACTTGGGCGTCATATGGAATCCTGAAATAAACAGTTTACATATTTAGATAGAAGTGGCATGTTTTTAAAGAATTATTACAAGATAAACAGCAAATTCTGAAACGCAATTGATGATACATAGTATGTGAGAATGTCTAGTGGTGGGTGGGTGGTCTGGTGTTTCGAAATATTTTCATTAATTACCAAACGCCAAGTTTTCTCTACGCGAACAGCGCCATAAAAGCGAAAATATTTCCATTTGCTGGAAATGATGGCAAATTTGCATGCAATTTCCAAAGGGGGCTACTAACCGGTAGGTTCTGGTACCCTTTTGCCCTTTATCCTATCACTACCCTGGTTGTTTGTGCTACTTTTTCCCCTTTGCTACCAATATCTAGCCTTTTTTTTGGGTTCAAGGACGCACAACCCCAAGGATAATTATGCTTCGTAAACAAAGGCAAAATATTCAACAAATATTTAGGTCTTCATTTGCATTTTTTCTATATGGAATTTAATAAGCCCTTAAGGGGTTCAGGTATCAGGAATTCAATTAAAATATGACTATGATATGACCATTTTATTAGATAATTTTATGTCCTTCCTAGCCTACTCTTTATGAGCTAAGTGACTCTTATCAGTTAGTAAACACTCTAGTCTACTTTTCAGTTTTACGAGCTCGGTCTCGACCTTTTGAATTTTGCAATTATTTAAGCTATTTTTAGGCCCTCTGACTGCCTTGGCCAGTTATTCAATTGCAGGCCCATTTTCGTGTGGCCGCCCACTTGAAAACTGAAATTGAAATGAAAACAGAGGTGGCCCTCCAAATATTCTGGATGTCCTTGATGGGCCGAAATGGATTTTCTCTCGCCTTCAGCCAAGGTTACGGGCAGGGCCGGTGATACCCCAGAGTCTGGCAGTTGTAAATTTCCGACACTGAAGACCCCAAACTAAGCCCCAACCGAAAATATAAAAAAAAAGTCAACATAAATCCATGGGAAAATCGAGAATCAAAGTAAATGATTCATGCACTAGGACTGCCAGCTCAATTGTTGCTCAGGGGCAGGGTCAAGGCCCATGTCCTGCGGCTTGTTGCTCACATTTTGGCGTGGGATTATGCAATGTCCTTCAGCCAGGACTCACACCCACACTAAGGCACACACGTCGCCGACTTGACGTAAATCTGCACGATGGCGTCGCAGTCGTAGGAATTACATAAACCATATTGATTTTGCCTGGCAACAGCAGACACCCACTGCCAGGATACGAAAAGGATGGAAGAAAAACCAGAACCCCTGAAAGGAACCTCAATTCCATATCCCACAGTTTGATTGTCTGCTGATTAAGCAAAAGCTTACTATAATTTGAATAAATCCCCTAATTAGGCTGCAATCCAACTAAAGTTTCTGCGTACTTTGGGCTTGAAACTTACCAATTTTGGCTATACTAGCCGACAGGATCCAGATTCCTATGATGAACGGCGTCTTCACACGAACAAAATCCACGCTGGAGAGCGGATACCTCTCCATTTTGTGGCCACCCCCCTCCTCCTCCGGATTCGGATCATTGGACTTGAGCGGTTCGGCACGTGGCAGTCTGTGAGATGGGGGCTCGGATGGCGTGGGCTGTGCATCATCCTTGGCAACGGCTGTCGGCGGTGGCTGGGCCAGCTGTATGGGCAGGAAGGAAGAGCAATATAATTCAGGGCATTAGCGGTTTATAATTGGCAAACATCACGGCAAAGAATTGATAAATGCGCCGAGCCAGTACATTTCCAATACCCGCCAATGCAAATATCAAATATTGACAGAAGCGTATAAACTGAGGAAAACACAAACCAGACCTGGTCTGGTGGGCTGGGCTATCAGGGTTAAGTTCCTCATTTGGAAACACGCCATCCCAAATTACAATCATTTTAATGACGCATTCTAACACGAAGAAACACAAAATGTTTGGATTTTTATATCTATGTGGATTTTTTTTGTGTTATATGTCTGTAAATGGGTCCAATGTCTATACATAAATTGTGGCTCCAGTCACAATTGAAAAGTTGATCTAGGTCAGTGAGTTAGCAGAGTGGTGACTAGGCGGCTAAAATGTTTCGTACATGTCGGCATGAATGAATGAATAAATATTAAATTGCGTATTGGGGTTAATCAGTATCAGACGTAGGCCAGGGAAAGTTGTTTGCCGGTCGAGAAGTCCGGTTTATTAAATTGAAAAGTGACGTCAAAGCTTTTCTAATTAATAGGGGCTTCCCTTCACTCAGTGCCGGGTCTATTTTTGGTTTCCTCGACAAACCCAAGATGTAAGAATAAATCAATCAAGATTGGCTATTAATGTGGAACTTTTTGTCACGGTTTCTAAGCCACTCATTTCATCAAAAAGTTGTCAATTCTGATACCGCATTTTACCGTCAATAAATTATGGAAAAAAACATGTGAACGTCATATAACAAAAGTCCATAAAAATTGTATTTTCCAAAAAGATGTTTTAGTGATATTTTTATATTTTTTGACAAGACTATAAATTAAAAAAAAAAAATCACATGCTAAGACCCAGAAATAGTTTTTTATTGTAAAGCGATAAGTTATCTCTAAATTGTCAAATGTCAATGTTGTTACTAAAGATAGTGGACAATACTTTACGATTTTATTCATAATATTTACATTTTAGAATTCAATTCAAGACCTATGCATGTACATAGAAGCGTGTGATATTGTTTGGTTTTTTTCCCAGCTCTATTGACACTTTTAAGAACTTCCCAAATAAATATGTCGATATTAAAAACATTTTTCTCAGGGCCTAGCAATTAAGAGGGTTGTATGGAATTGAAAAAGTCTGCTCTAGCCATGTTCACCTGTACTGTACTCTAACTCAATTGCAATCACCTAAAGAGCTTTGCGTTGCACACCGGATGTTCGCGTAATGCCCGACTTAATGGCAGTTAAATGGGATTTCGGACTTTGAGGAAGAGGTACTCACATTTAGCTGGGTGACCGCACCCGCATCCACAATACTGTCCTGGCCAGGAGTCACACCGGTGGCACTCATGTTCGGTCTCCCCTGGGAAAGGCCAAGGAGGAGGCACAGAGCCAGGAGCAGGATGGCTCGTTTACCGAAAATCCCACTCGGGCTGGCATTGCAGGTTGCTTTCGTTATTCTGGCTTTAGTTTCTGGTTCTATTTTTGTTTTGCTTTCATCACTCGGTGGTTTTTCTGCCTCGTTTGGATCCGGCATTGCAGGATTAACTATCGTCAAGGCAGGACTTGCTTTCGTGGGGAGGTCCTTGCTGCCGAAAGAGTGACTCTTCCAGCAGGCTCGCCTGGCCAGATTCATTTGCTGTTCCAGTGCCGGCGTGGCACTGTCGTAGTCCTGTTCCGTGAGGTTGCTCATTGCTGTGGCATACTAGGTCCTCCTTTGATCCTTTTTCTCAGGCAGATTCCTTCTCCTGTCTGTCTGTTATTCTTTTTTGTTTTTTTTGGGTTAGTATCTGTTTGGTATCTGCAAGGAAAGAGTTAACAAATATTGGTTATTGGTCTTGACTTAATTTTTGTTATCACTCCCTTACTCGACCGACCTGCCGCAATAACCAATTGAAACTGGTTAAATCCCACCAATTTCACTAACCATGAAGCCTTCTGTGGTCTTAAAATCGTAAAAGTCCAGCCATTCACAAAAAATCACACTTTAATATTTGTTCTTTTAATAGCAAGCGGTTTTTGATTGTGATACCTTATGGACTTGTCGGCTCCTCCACTCTCTTTTTGGCCAATTGCAAATAAAAATGTGCTAAAATCGAACCAACTGGCTGAGGCACGTGATTTTCGACCAGATCCAGATTTGTATACCAGGGAATTATTGTATTCCAGATCATTCACTTTATGGAAAAATTGTATTTTATTTATGGTTATCCAGTTTATTAGCCAAACTTATATAACTACACTAATCTTTCTGTATAAATAAACCTCATAAATGACTTCCATTACAGCCTCAAACTTAACTCAAAGTAATTTGAATAAAATTCGAAAATATCCCGTTTATTTCCTATGTTAATTCATCATGTATTCGCAGACTTACTCAAGCCATTGTTAGCCCAGTTGGTTAAACCATTTGTTTAAGAATTTAATATAAAATTATCTGGCAGTCGGAGGGACAATATTTGCTTTTCGAACTGGATAGATCCAGTGCACTTAGCGCCATGCGAAATTAGCAAGTTGATACCAATCGTAAATATGGCAATAAACCAGAGTAAACACACTCAACTTGGCGAACAGAAACCGCCAGGCACCCTGAGGCCCATGGAACATCTCCAACGTCAGTTGGCTTTCAACGCCCGAGATAAGAACCGTGATTCTGTTCACGGGTATTTGCGAAATTATATTAGCCCAAGTAGCTCCGGTAGTCGTAAAGCTTATCTACCGCCCGGGTGTTTAAATACTGGCCAGATAATGTCCCTCTCCCAATTAAACAATTGGGCTGTGCAAATGCCGCAATTGCCGCATTCGAGGCCTGATAATTGGCGGAGGGCAATGCACGACTCGGTGTCTCTGTAATTGTTTTCATCCAGTCACAGCCAATTGAGTTTGATGATACTTTTTGATATTTTTTTGCAAGTGTTGTCCCCCTATCTGATTATATAAAACTGATACTTGAGAGTGCCCCATGCTCTGCCTTGATCTTGGCACTAGACTTGAAGCTTCCTAGCCAACTTTGTGGGAATCGGTGATTAGATTACCACTTGCCAAGTTTCAAGTTTGGTGATTTAATTACAGGAGCACAATGTTTGGCCAAGTAATCCCACTAATCGCCAATAAGTGGCTCAAATCATAGCGTTATCCGAGTTTCCCGCACAATCTGGATGAATCGAATTCAAGTGGGAGAAGTGCAAAATCGTTAACTTTAATTGATGGCCCAGGAAGATGGCCCTTGTTACAGTGGTAACACGTCTATGTTCTGGACAGGATGCATTGCTTCTTTCAACAAAGTTGATGTCACCGAGAGAATAGTAAAGTTTTGCGGGAAAAACTTTATCTTGACTGAAACTTCCTTGAAGGAAAACAATGTAAACACCTCTAAACAATATTCTAGTTTCATAGTTCAGAGTTTCAAAGCTTTACACCCACTGTTGGAAACCCCATTTCAAATATTCTTCCAACTCTGTGACCCAACAGTCGTTGTCAGAAGTCCTTGAACATGAACGAATCGGCCCACGTTTTAATTGATTTCTTCGCACTTCGTCGGCCACCAAACACCCCCGAAATGTGTTAATATTTAATTTGAGTTTATTTTATGCTCCACTGTGGACCCAAATGGGTATAGACGTGAATCGGATTGATGCCCTCCACCACTAGCCATAAGCTTCTGTTTACTTTGGCCTGTGGAGGCGACTAATTCCCTATATAAATGTAAATATTTGAGGCGGAGATTTCAAGAGTTCAAGTTTAGCCAGCGGAAATTATTTATATATCAAAGGTCAACCCGACACTATATTATATGGGCAAAAATAACCAATTGGGAATACATATATGTTTATGGCAATGATGTATAATTTGGCCGGCCACCAAGAAAATGTTTGTCTGTGCACGCCAATATAAAGAAATGTTTTTTTTTGCGCCAAAAAATATTGAAAAATGGCAATTAATAAATATATATTTGGGGACTGTACCTGGAATGATTTTTATTTGCGGGGACTGTACTTCAGTTAACCCAAAACTATTCTAAAATTATTTGTCAACTTTGTTAGAAATCGGCGAGTTTAAAGCCCTCTTCAAAGGTAAATCAATAAAATGCGCATCGGAGGAAAATTCAAAACACAATTCACTTGGTGGGCTAGAATATTTATAGGGAAATCAATCTCAATTGGCTTATGAAAAATGCAGCAGTATTTGGAACTAAAATCTGAAAAAAACACAAACCGGCAGAAAGCCACTCGAACCAGTTCAAAGCGATTAGCCAGGGAATATGTGGACTGTGGATAACTTGGCCAAAAACTGAACAAATGCATCTAGCAGCCCACACAATTTAAGCCTTGAAATATCGTCAAAACAATACTACCTCACAGAGTCCCAGTTGGCCATATGTACTACATACTACTACAAAGTGTATGGAAATTCCGGCGATGCCAACTTGAATAATGACTGTTTACGAGGCGAATAGTCTATTGTCTGGCTGGGCATTGGATGGGCTTCCTGGAGTCGTAAAAATCTTTTTACAACCCGAGGCATGTTCCGGCAAAAATTTTTTTCAATTGGTTTTCCATTCGTTTCGATTTTATTTGAAAATTATCTATGAATACTAAAACGAATGCCAGCAGATGCTTAACAAGCCACAGATAATATTTTTAAAAGTATATTTTAAAGTAAAGTATGCAGTTCAACATCCAACTAAATAATATTTATTTTTTTGCACGACTTGTGCTTTATGTGGCGTAAAAATTAATATTTAATAGAAAAGTATTCGAACAGCATTGCTTCAAGGTGATTACACATGGGAGATGACTTTAATATTATGCCATAAATTACTTTTGTTTGAACCTAAACCTAAAACCCTTAAATTTAATTTCTTCCTTAATCTAATTCAAGTTGACAGGTTTAATTACAAAAGTCAATTTTGTTTATCCTCAGGAACATTACACACGGAATTCGGAAATCCCCAATACCTTCAGCCATCTCAGTCAGTCTTCATATTCTGGGGAGTATTCTGTCATGTTCAGACCTTTTTGGCCGCCCAGCCAAAATAATAAATGTTCAACCCAGCCAAAAAAAAATATACACAGAGAGTTGAAAAAGTAAATTTGCATACATGCAAATATATGAAAAGCATAAAATAAACGAGTAAAAGCCACCAAAAACCAAAAGAACAAGAACTCGAGGCAAAAAATAATTTTGCGGTTGCGACAAATTTCTGACTGAATCTCGGACGTGGTTTACTCACTGCCTGGCTGACTGACTGACTGACAAGAGGGTTCATGAGTGTGTGAGCCATTGAATCCCCAAAAGGAACTTGTCCCACAAATGGCATTGAAATTGTCAGTCGAGGGGGTTTGCTCTTTTTATACAGAAAATGGCCTGACGAATACAAAAACAAGAATGTATACGTTAATATTGATATGGGGGGAACAGCAAGGCGCCACTGAGATTGATGATAACCAAGGGGTATCCAACAGGAAATATTGATTGCGAAGAATACTGAAAGTTCTATAGATTTCATATTATGATGAAATCATAGAAAAACTACCATTTATAAATTGTTGAAACTTTAAAGTAATGAATCATTGTTGTTAAATAGTCTGACTTTAATCTTATAACCAACAATCTTAACTTCGGGAACCCCATTTAAAGCAAGTCTTAGTAGGTCTTAAAATTGTTTGACAATTAATTTAAGCTCACTGCTTAAGTGACCTTTGTTTTTATCAACCATAAAAATATATTCCTAGTGTGATATTACTTTTGATAAAATATTTTAAACATTGGGTCAGTTCCAAACTGGACGTAATTAAGAGCTTTAAAATCGATTAAGGATGTGTAGTGTTTAGTTTTTTAAATGAATTCTTTGGAAAGAGCCTTCCTCGTCAATCCTTGAGATATTTTTCTGCTGATTACAAATATGAATAATTATCGATATTATTACATCGATTTTGGTCAAGGTCTAACGGTGTCGAACCATCACAAATCATTATTTTTTTGCCCTACAAGAACATGTCAAACATTATCAGATGGAAATAACGAATGTCCATTGGACATGTGACTTATTGGTTTTATTTGTAAATTATATGCACTGAAAAAAACCTGTATCTTTTATCACAGTGCTTCTGAATAGCACAATATAACATATGTTTTTGTAAACCCATTATGGTATCTTTCTGTATTCTCATATCTAAATTTATTGGCTGATAATTGATAATGAAATCAACTTGATTGACGATTTAATTCCAATAACAAATTTTTCCTAGCATGCCTATAGATAAGTTTTTATACAAATGTATGTACATATGTGCTTGCATGTTTATTTATATAAGCGGTACCAATCATATATATCCACACACGTACATACTATTAATATTTGTTTATGCATGTTTGTTTGACTATGAACCGAGTCTAGACTCTAGACGGAAACGTGTTTTGTGACTAATCAAGTGAAGGTTTATAGTTTTCTTTAAAAAAAAAATTTTAAAAATTTTGAAATTTTTAAAACTGTTAACTGTTGATAACTAGTGTTATCGATAACAATTGTTGCATAAAAAATGTGGAGATACAACTTCCTCTATCTATCTTGAAAATTCTTTAATTATGAGCAAAATACACATTGTTGCAAAATTGTATCTGTGAAATACGTTACGAGATGAAAAGATGCTGGCAAATTTGGATGAGTCAGCAGGTTTCCGGAACTCAGGAATCCATACATATACATATGTTGCTATGCTGCCCTACGTTATCAGCTATGTATGTATATATTTCTAAATATATAGACCATATAGCACAGCAACAATTACATGTGTACACTTGTGTGTATATGTTTTTTTTCGATTTTTGTATTTTGGAATGCGAAACGGGAACAACTAGAGAATAAGTAGAGCATAGCGAATCGAGAAGACGAAAACACAGTAAAAGGCAGTACAAGACCAAAATAAACTCAAGTGCACTTTTGGTAACAGAACAAAGTCAGCTAATATAGAAGCTGTTGTGGAGACGTAAAAAAATATTTAAAATTCAGGCTAAAAATACCCGCAAAATACATAAAATCCGTTCACTCAAAAAAAAAAATTTCCATTTTGTTTCAAAAAGGTATAAGTATCTTAACGAATGTATATTGTATCTTAACGCACGTTTTACTTGTTGTTTCTTTCTTCCTTTCCACAACAAATCAGCCGGCAGCTGTTCCTCTTTGTCACGATTTTTAGCACTCTCTTTTTGCGCCCACTCTCTCCTTTCACTCTCCTGGCTTCCGATTTTGTTTTGATCCGCACAGCAAACGTGTGTAATAAATAAATGATTTCTTAATTCATTCGCTACCAATGGCACAACGTACATTAATATTTATTTGCGAATAAAAACGGCGCACTTAATTTTGCTTCACACACATTTGAAAATATTCGATATCACAAAGTACTGTAGAAACACGGCTTGCTTTCACTTCGATACATTTTCGAAAATTGTTTTTTCAAAAAATCATTTCCTCGTTTCGGCGGGCCAAAGGTGGAAAATGAAAAATCAAATTTTCCGCAACCGAGGCAAAAATAAAATGCTGTTTGTTCTACAGCTGCGAATTGAATGGGAGATTCCGAGGAAAATACATTTCAAAAGAGCGGAGAACTGAGAAATCGATGCGATAAAGGCCCGATAGCAGCGGTTCCAGCTGTTAGCGGCACTTAACAGAGCGTGGGTCTGTTAACCGGCTGATGGCGAGACACCCACACAGTTATAACAGCTGCCTAATAAAAGATGGCAACCTGGGAAATGGCAGGAATTTACCGTTAAAAAAAGTAGGTGGTAAAAATGGTGTATCTTAGAGGTTTTTGGAAGTTTTTAAAGAATATTTTTAAAAATTTAATTAATTTTAAAATTTTTGGAAAGATTTTTAAAAATTTGAATTAGTTTCTAAGCTTTAACTAAGACGATTTTATTCCGCATTTAATTGACTCTGAAATACATAGAAAAATATCAATTACGGTGCATGTTTAAACTCAAACGAACATCGTTGGCAATTTCCTTGCATTTTTCCTTGCTTTTGTATCATTAATTGAAATGAATAATTGAGGCAGCCGGGCCATAAAAGCAACCGCAATAGCCCTCACAAACGAGCTTCCTGCAATGGAAATTGATTTTATTTCGTGGCATAACAAGGCTTTGCGACTGGGTCCTCTGGCAAGGATAACAACACGTTTGTAGTTCCTTGATAATTGCAAAGGGCACAGAGCAAGTGCAAACATTTCAATATCAGCTCTGTGGCTCGTGGCATTTCCATAATATCGATCGGTAGTTGGCAGCCGCCTGGTTCTGTCTGTGTGGGTGGCTGGCAAACAGCTCTTTTATCCATCACACCACAAAGATAATATAATAGTGTATACATTATCCTTGTACTTGAACGGCTGCAGCTAAGTGCACGTAATTGAATCCTAAGGACAGTTCGCTGGGGGTTCTTTTCTGCGAAACTGCGTCGTCTGCCTTGATTGGATGCTCGTAACGACGGTTTTATGAATGGAGAGGAGAGTGGATATACAATGATATACAATAAAAACCAAGCAAGCTGGGATACAATTTGGCTAATGATTTGAGAAATTAATGATGAACGAATACATTCGAAGAGGCTTTTGTGGTTCCTTTTAAGGCCATTACTTTTTAAGAGTTGTTTTTTTTTCGCATATATTTTTATTGTCCTCATTAAAAAATCCAGTTGTCTTGGCTTTGAGATGGCATAAAGGCAATCCCCAAAGCCTTCTTTGGAAAAACAAAAACACACAAAACGGGAAACTGTCAAAACTTTGGCTCAAACTTTGCTGAAGAGCCGAGGCAATGGACGTAATGCTACTTCAGGTTCATTAGACTTGAATGTTAAGAGCGTGTGTGCGGCTTCAACTTTCAGTTCTGCAAAAACATTGTAGTAATAATAATAATGCCCCAGCCATTCTATAGCCTCCCCCGAAGCGTTCGCGTCTATTATGTAAGCTTCAGTCTATTCTCAAGGACACGCCGCAGGACATGCCCCTGCAAAACCGAAAATAGCAAACGAACAAATCAGACAGCTCCACCATCTACATACATCTCCACAGTCAGATAGAGAAACATGGGCATTGGAATACAACAATTTTATTTCATATTACACTTTTGCAATGACCATGGACGAAGGACACAGGACAAAGGCGGCCGTACAGTAAATCAGGGAAAAACAAACTCGGCCGAAGTCCTTTTTTTGGGGCGTGACGTTCAGACAATAGTAATGGCTTTGCCGCAGTGCCTGGGGAGCCAGAACTCCTCAAACTAATGGTATTACACTAAAAACTACATATATAGAAAGAAAATAATATATTTTAAAACTTTTAGTACATAAAGAAAAGAAAAAAAATTTAAAATCATAAACAAGCTTATGAACTTAATAAGGCTTTGAGACTAGTAGGGTAGCTACTAAGCATTTTGGTAGTTTAGAATTATTTTATTTTTTATTATTTTATTTTTAGTAATTCTGTTAAAGCTACATTTAAAAACAAAAAACGTTTTCTTTTTATCAGAAACCGAATACAGCTGTTCAAGGACCCTAATTTTGAATTGTGGATTTTTTTCTTATATGTAGATGTCATTGTCCACTTGACCGAACAGCATCATTTACATTCGAAGCAACAATAATAACCAAATCCAAACATCCATATTGCGGTTCTTTTTTTGCATTATATAAAATATCCATCGCCCACACTTTCCCACCCACACACACACACATACATACATCCACCTGACACTCATGGATACAAAACTGTAGCCTGCTTTTGAGAGTTGCATACTGTTGTTATTGTTTTCGTTATGAACTGCAGTAGCGGTTGTGACGTAAAAACGGCGTCGGCATCGACAATTTGTTTTTGTTTAGCGTAGGCACACCGATACTCCTTCAGGCACATCACATGCGCAAAACGAACGTCAAAAACATCTGTTTGGCGTGGGAGAACGTTACCGTTACCACTCAAAATGGCCGAGAGAAAGCTATCGGGAGAGCCACCCTTCTCTCTGATACACTGCACTCCTGATGACCGAACAAGAAGGCATTATTTTTTCGGGTGTACGATTTATGGCTTTGGCCAAAGTCAAATTTTTGATGAAAGGACGACAGACGGCAAGTCGGTAAACATTATACAGAACTTGTGGATCCGATATTATGCAATATTATCAGTTAAACCATCCCCGGCGTATACTTAATTAACTATTATGTAAGGGCTGGCAATAACCCACCTTTAGTTTTTTTGTTTTTCGGAGGCCTCCTGGCAGACACGCCTAATTAAGCTTTAAATATTTCTAGATCTAAGCCGCTAATATATATTTGGAATTTTTCACCAATTTCAGTCGCATAATGGCATGGTTTTGTCTCGCAAATTCTTTCACTCTTGAATTTTAAGCGTTAAAGGATTTACTTTTCAATTTTAATAGCACTATGTAAAATACACTAACACACACAGCCCGGATTCATATTTTTTTCTTGAATTTTGTAATTTAATTTACGCTTGCTGAGGGGGGGGGAGCGGGAGGATTTGGATGAGGAGGAAGAGGCCACAGCAGCGCTTATAGCGAACGCTTGAGCACGTTGAAGTTTTGCATCAGATTTGCCGTTTTCATATAAACAGCAAACAACTTGATGTGGTTCTTATGGAAATTGGTGTACTTTGTGAAGTAGAACCGCCGCTGGCACATTTTCACTGTCGACTCGATGGACACGCGCTGATGACTGAATTTTCTTTGCGTCGAAAGTTTTCCCAGCGGCCGCCAGGACGTCTCTTGCCAACAATGTATCGACAGGACTCTCGGGCGTTATCCAGCACTGGTTCGCTCTACAGCCGGTGTTGCTATTTTTTATCGATTTAAGGGATAATATATTTTTGAATTATTTTTTTGTAAGCAGTTTTTTAACAAAATGGGTATATATTTGAAACTGGATTTAGTTTGTGCCTATTTTTTTTTAAAATAAATAAAAATACCCGGTACTTTGTTGCTACAATATAATGTAAAATAATTATTTAATTTGTGAACTATTTTTAGGTTATTACTAGAACGAATTTTAGTAGTCCCCTCTATTATATCAATTTAAGATTATTTTAAACTGTAGCACACCATAGTATTTTATAAAAAAATATATAAAAACTCCCTTTTATTGATAACAAACAAGGTTTATTTTATTTCGTCACTCAAAATTAACAGTTTCTAAGCCAAACTGCCCTAAAAGGCGCCTAAACTTGTGCGCTTCCGCCAAAAGAACAGTCAAGCGAGCTGGTAAAATTCCAAGATTCCATTAACTGATTATGTTTTAAGATTAAGTACCCGACCCGGGAACGGCAGTGGAAAAAAAACTAAAGGAACTCGAAAAGCGTATTCATATTGCGGAAAGGAAAGAGGGAAGGAACATCTGCGCTCTGGGGAAGTCAGGGAAATTGTTCTCTAGGGATGCCTAACATAAGAACTAAACGATAAGTATACAATTAAGTCTTTTATCAAAATCACAAAACGTAAGAATTCAACGCTGGCCGAGATCACTGGATGGACATTAGAGGATCACAGCTTGCACAGGCAGAATAGAAGCGGTATAAAGGCCCCGATGGCAATGAAAACAGGCAACAATATGGATGAGTCGTCCATTGAGTAGGGATTGGGTTGCTTCGGACCGCTGTAGGAGCGTTTTGGGTCTGAACTCTGCTGCGTCTGGACATCCTGCCTCGGTTCAGCGGCCTTCTCCTCGGGCAGCTCCTCCTCGAACTCCTCATCGTCCAGATCCTCGTCATCCTCGTCTATGTCGTTCCTCTGAGAGCGTACAATGCGCTCACTTTGTTGGGCCTGGGTCGGTTTGCTGCTTCCGCCCTCGGGTTTGATTCTTTCACTAGCCTCGGTGCCATGCAGACGTGGTAGCTGGGAGACATCACCCTTCAGCAAGGCGAAGGCATTTATCTTGGGATTGTCCAGAGCCCCCTTGATGAAGTCTAATCGAAGACGTCCGTTCCTCACGTCGGAGACCTCGCCGTCGTAGTGCAATCTTCCGTTGTTGATTTTAAAGTAAACGATTTCGTCGTGTGCCGATCCCCTGCCCACCTGGTCATATATGTCCAGCTGCTTGACAATCGTGTGTTTGCGATTCAGGAGTACATCGAAGACCTTTTTCTGGGGGGCGTCAAAGTAAACTTCACAGAATTTCATAATCAGCGCGTAATCTCCATCCCCATCGCTGGGCAAGTCGTAACCAAATGTGGTGGTGTGATAGCGTTCCGTTCTATATAGAACCTCGTCTTGCTCCTGCACCCGTCCAATCATCAGTAGGTGCTTCCCATAGTCCGAGGCGATTCCAACTCCTTTCAAAGGATCTGCATCGTACTGGATACCATTTCGGTCCGTGTGCTCCTCACCTCCGGCGTTCACAGCATAAATAACCTTGAGCGGATCAGCGGCGTGCGATAGACTTACAAGGCCCAAGAAAATAAGTACTATCAAGGTCCATGTCCTGGAACTACTTGCCAGCAAGTAGTCCGTGAAGTTCCCCGATTTCCATGCTACGTTGCACATGCTAGTTGTTGTTTTTGTTGTTGTTTCTGTTGGCCTCTTGAGCTTGTTCTGCATTATCCTGAGTTCCTGAAGGCAATTTTTGATGTGTCGCTATTTGAATGAATAAAGTCCTAGGCCTGGCCAGCTAAGACGGCTATATTGGTTGGTTTTCGAGCCCGAATTGATCCATTAACGAAATGTTTTTTTCTTTTGAGACGTTTACAGCTGAAGAGAACCAAAGAACCATGGAACCAGTGAACTGTTATCGATTATGTATTCGGTATTTTTTTCTATATAGGTCTTAAAATTACGCTTAATTTTCAAATAAAAGAGTTTTTAAAAATTTTATGAATTAAATCCTTTTCCTAAATAGCTGGGCTATTACAAAATGTAGTTTTTGTAGCCTTATTTTAATTATGAATATAGTTATTTTTGTTAAACTACAGACTAGGTTTAACAGTTCACAACGAACCGCGGAACCACGATTGTGTTTTGGTATATTTTTTGGTATTTTCCTTCATCAGCTCTGCTTCTTGGTCATCTGGCATCACTGTTTATATGCTACACGTGCATTGATGTGATTTTAATTTACTCTGAAAGTGACTGCGAAAAACGGCTTAAATAGCTGAAATTGGGCTATATTCCCACCCATAGACAGTGCCAAAGCACTGACGGTTTTTAGAGTCCACGTCCCCCCGAAATACCATGATCTTTGACGATCGCCTGGAGCTGCAGTTCCTGGCTGGCGGCAACATCGTGGAACATGCGCCCGTCTTCTCCCCCGATGGAAGGTTAGCTATATACCCTATGATTTCTAATAAATCTATATAATATATATTTTCTTTATAGGTTCATGTTCGTCCGCTGCCTGTCGAAGGTGCAGGTGTATGCCACTATCACTGGAGAGCTCACCAGAGTGCTGGACGATGCCAAGGCGCCTCTGATAAGTTTGGAGCTGGATTTAAAGCAGCCGGAACTCCTGATAGGTTGTACGAGTACTGGGGATCTGCTGCGCTGGAACTGGGCGGCTGGTGTACTGAAGCATTCTGCTTCTCTGAAGTTGTGTTCCGAGGGAAACACCACAGTGTTGACATGCGACCTCTTGAACCTTTACAAGGGCGGCGAGACCGCCTGCGCCTTCGTGACATCCAAGAAGAAGAGCGGGTCTTCTGTGGACTATTCTGTGGTCAACACCACCACTGGGGAAACAGTGCCCATAAACTGCGGCCTGAAGTTGAAGTGGGTACTCCTCTCCCGAAAACAACAACCTGTTGCCTCATACTAAATGTTTACTTTTTGCAGAATACGCACACCTCTTGTGGATGTGGGCAAGGGCCAGTTCAAATACATCATCCTGGCTCAGGGAATGTACGTCTATTTCGTAAACTATGTGTCCTGGAACTTCATCCGATTCAAGAGCGCGAACCAGAACTTGATCACTTGTGTGAGGATGAGTTCCTCCGAGAAGGTGGCCGCCACTGGCGACGCTTCCGGCCAAATCTTTGTGTGGCGTGATTTTGATAACCACAAGACCATGACCAACAGGCTGTACCACTGGCACCACAACGAGGTGACCAGCCTGGCGTTCTCGCGCTCCGGCGTAAGCCTCTACAGCGGCGGGCAAGAGTGTGTGCTGGTCAAGTGGACATTGGCTACGCCCGAGAAACGTAAGTATGTGCCCCGGATGGCCAGTGCGATACGGCATATTGTGGTCAGCAATGACGGTGAGAATGTCCTGGTTTGCACGGAGGATAATGCCATTCAGCTGCTGAGCGGCAGCAGTCATACGATCAACTCCACTGTTCAGCACTTTACGTACGAGACGCAGGATAAGACGGGAAGGAGCAAGTTTCCCTTGGGCTTGTGCCTCAATCCCAGGACGAATTCCCTGGTGCTGAATGGTAGGACGGGTCACTTGCAGTTCTATTCGGCTTACACAAAGAGTATGCTGTACAATGTTAGTATTTCTTTATAAACAATTAATTTTTGGAAAATAATAGACTAATTCCTTGCCTTCAGCTTCGTGTGGTGGACAGTAACATTCTGAATCAGGAGACTAGTCGTATTATCTACAATTCCAGGATAACTAAGGCCGCATTTAATATCGATTGGATGGCCACTGGTGAGGAATACAATGACCTGGAGAACTTCCCGGAAGTACGCCTCAAGTTCTGGCAGTTCAACGAGAAGTTACAAAGGTGAGAGTGAAATAAAATCTTTCAAAAACTTTAAATAATAACTTTCCTTATAGCTATATCCTAAACACAGAAGTAGACCTACCTCACGAGCATGGCTTCCAGTCCATCATCTTCTCCAATCAGTTCCAAGTAAACAACTTGCGCTGCGCCACCGCCGGCAAGGATAATGTCGTTAAAGTCTGGGGCTTGACAGAATCGGAGAACATTTACAAGCGCGGCAATATGTGGAGCTGCCTGGCACAGACGAGTTACAGAAACCTGCCCGTTGGTTCGCTCTCTTTCTCGCAGGATGGTTCCCTACTGGCCGTGGGCTATGGAAACATTTTGGCTCTGTACGACGCCAGGAATCCCCATCTTCCCCTGAAGACCCTCAGTTGTCCGCCCGGCTTAGATGGTGTGGTATCCAAAGCCCAGCTACGATTGGCCCAGAATCCATTGAACGGAGCGAGGAAAGAATTCGCCCAGAGGAGGCAACAGTTGTCGGCGCTGCTGAACAGCATCCTGAATAGCAACGATGAGAAACTGGTGCAGCAGGCCAAGGAACTAATAGCTGGTCTCCCGGCGAAAGGCAAGCTTCTCAATCAACCGGACGATGCCCAAAAGGAGTCTGTGTTCAACTACATCATGAAAATGTCCGAACTCGGCCTGCATCAGAAGTTGCAGCTTCTGCGTCGCTTTGGGATACAATGCTCGGTGCCCGCGGTTCACCAGCAGCGGCTAATGGAGCACCTTCAACAGAGAGCGGTGTCTTCGCAGGCAGCTAAGACGAAAATCCGTCAGCTGGACGACCGACTACATCGCCTCCACACGCGGCATCGTTTCAAAGCCAAGCAGCGGCTGGACGAGCTGGCCAAGAGGCGGCAGAGCTTCGAGAACCTGGTGCCCCAGGAGGTGATGGCCCTGTTTAGCGTCTTGAAGCTGGACGAAAGCAGCCAACCCAAACAGAAGAACCCCAGCAAAAAGGTCAAGTTGGATGAGAAGAGCCAATCCCAGACGAATGTAAAGAAGATACCCGCGAGGTCAGCTCCTCTTCAGAAATCAGCTCAGATATCGAGTGTGCAATTCGGGGCAGGAAATCAGGCACATCTGGTGGCAGTCTGCACCGAGTCCCGGGTGCTCATCTGGAACCTGTTAACACTGCGACTCCAGGCGGGTCTGAAACTGTCCGTGCGACAGCTGGCCTTTGATCCGCTGACCAATCTAATGGCTGTCATCACGAGAAATGATGAATGTGAGTAACCTGGAAGCTAACTAAAGGTTATGTTTAGTTAATAATTATAATTCCCAATTCCTAGTGCATGTTTTCCAACCGAATGTACCACTGCCTCTGTACCAGCGCAGCAATCTGCCCAAGACCTATGGCCTGGCCTGGTTGCCCAGGAGACAGCCCAAGCAGACCTCCATCAACGTGGACTGGCAGGCGCAGTCGACGCTGCTGATGCTCACCCACTCCCAGGAGATAGCCTACCTGGCGCCGCATGGACACAGTCCCTCGGATGATGCCCCAGCCCCGATCAGCTTCGCCAAGCCTGCCGACACCGAGAATCTGCTGAGGCATGCGACATTCGGGATACACGTGACCAAACGACAGCAAGAAGACTCTCCGGAGAAGAGGAGTGGTCCTCTGATCATTGGCCGTGGAGAACACAGTGCAGTTAATGCGGTGAGTTTAGGTTTTTGGAAATTTAATTTTATTAAAATCTTAAACATCTATGAAGTACAATTGGTTAGGCTTATAATAGTTAGAAATGCTAAGGATGTACATATATATGATTTGGTTTAGCTTTGGTCTGATTTAGAAATCCTTTAAAAACTGTAGTTTTAATTGATTTTGTTGCTCAGTCATGTTGAGTATTTTTGATTTTGATTCGGATTTGGATTGTCTATCGGCCGGATACTACTTCTTCTTCCGCTTGATGACGTCCCCCAGCCGTGGCGCCGTTGGGACTCGCAAGTGACGACAGCGTCGCATCATCAGGACATCGTGCTTGAAGTAGCGAAGGCAGTGCCACTGAGGGACCTTGGGCATCAGTTGTTGGTGCTAATAATATAAGGAAATTATAAAGTTAGATATAGTTAAGATTATATCAGAGATTATATCCCAAAAATAGATACAATAAGGAACTATGTTTGTGGCCTACTGAAGGGGTTCAAAGTTCTGGCTAAATGGCATATATATTCTAGTTGATTTTCCACGATTCTGACGTTGGTTTAGTCTTTTGTCCCTTTAGTTAGTGGTGCTCTTTTGTGTTCTGGCTCTGCGCCCAACTTGTGTTCAACTCAATTTGAATAATTTCCATTTCCATTGAGATTTATAACGCTGTTTGCTCAACTGGGCTTTATTTTTGGACCCGCAAGTCATGTGAGTTATATCAGCCTGGCAACTGCGATTCACTTTTCGGATAGTTTTGGGATAGGTCTATCATCTGATCCCTTAATCTCCGAATAATAATATTATATAATATTCAAATTATCGCCTGAACTTGACTTTAATATTTCGGGGGTATTCCTGCGATCCAAAGATCATTCACGGTAATCAGTTGTTGGATTATTTTTATAATTAATTAATCACTTTGTTTATTCTGTGAAGGGTCAAGTCTGCACAGCCATTGATAAGGGATATGGATTACTGAATATTTAAAAAAATTATATAAATTATAATACCAAGTCATACTTGATATTGGGAGGAAATCTTTTGCCTCGCGGCTATATTTAGTTACACTGATTAACAGTACCACACGCCCCAAACGTGTTCAACAAACAACACTTTGTTTTTCTCAGTTTCCTATTTTAGAATCTTGCATAAGATGTTTTTCCTGATAGATTAGAGGGGTATGGGAATTCTATCCATTACTGATACTTTCTTAAAAGTCTTGATCTTAGCTAATTAGTTAAAGCCCTAATATCTTAATTCAAAAGCAATCTTTTAATTAAGACTGCACAGCAATTCACGCCGCCCACTTTTAATTAGTCAGCTTGCACTTCCTGCTTGCAACTGGCAGCCATTTTAGCTTGAAATTTGAGTAAAGTCATTGCCCCAAATACGTGCCCCCTGCTGTGCTTTTTGGATGCAACTCCGGTTAACCTCCCCCGTAGCTTCTAACCCCCTCCACCACTCACCTCATTCACAATTGGCACAGGTCCAGCACTGGCCCAAGCAAAGAATGCAAGGCACAGCAGGGAAATGATGCCTACAAAGTTGGGCCACATTTTCCGGATATTTTCGTGGAAGTTATTTTTTTTTTTACTCTGCACTCTGCACTTGCTTTGGTGTTTGTGTTTATTGGCTCGTAAATCGTTTAATCAGGATTTGGCACTTTGTCAGTTGCAGTTTAAGACGAGAGAGAGGTTGAACTTTTGTCCGCTTTTTATTTCCGTAAACTTTAGCGGCACGCGCTTCCGTTGTTTGTGCTCGTCGGTGGCTCTCCGAGTTCCGCTCCCAGCTGTTGGTGTGGAATGCAACGGTAAATGTGGAGCCATCGTCGAGGCTTTCGGCCATTTATACTCGCCGCTCTCTCATAATTCTAACCGAACGAAGCTCGTAAAGTGCGGCTTGTTATGGTTTGGGGGGCTCTCTCTGCCACTCTCTCTTTGTTTGTGCTCTCTGGTGGGGCTATTGTGAATGGGGGACGCCGGACTTGGCACAGTGGGATGGGTTTTAATAATAGTTAGATTAACACTGAAACTAAGACTATTTTGAAATTAAGATTATTTTTAACAATAGAAATAAAATGCATAAAACTTGATAATTATTATTTATTATTTTTAATATCCACTGTATATTAAATTAAACCTTATTACCCTTGCCCTTGCACTTACCACCACCCCTATAAATATTTTCCATTGCGTGCCTGTGACACTTTCCTTTTCGGCCAATAGTCGATTATGTTGGGCTAATAATTGGTATCGCTTTGTGTGTCCTCTGAGGATTTTTTTGCGGCTCTGTTGCCACGTGAAAAGCCAGTCAGCGTAATTGCTTTCGTCAATTACCGTATTTTCCAAGAGTTTATTCTGGTTTTGGTCGGTTTTGGGGTTGATTTACTGACTGACCGAGTCACTGACTTACAACATTATCAACGTATGCTTCCTGGAATTTTCCAAAGAAAAAAAATAAACAAAATATTTTTTTGCCAATAAAAAAAAAAAGTCAGCAAAATGCCTGCACTTTTGATTGTTTTTGCTGATTTTGATTAGTTTGCCAAAATGGAGCAATAATATCAACAGGCCGCGGACGCATGCGCGAAGGTTAATAGTGCTGGGAGTACTTGAGGGCTTGTGCGGCGCATTTATAAGACGCTCGACAATGACAAACCAGAAAACCGAATAATAATCATGTGATTAACATTGTCCAGCGCCGAACTTGAACCTCAATCTCGACACCCTCGACACCCGAAAATAATTCAAATAATAACCCAAAAGCAGCCGACATTGCTAGACAGTTGTGGCACTTTAGCTATGATTTAGCTAAAATTATTAAAGTGTGGCTAGTTGTATATATAGTAGTATTAACCAATAGTATAGTATATTTTCGACTATTTTTTCTAGATTTTTTTCTTAAAACTCCTTTACTCATCACTGTCATCCACTAACACACTTTTTGAACTTCACCAAGGTCAATGTCAATTAATATTCATTTCTCTATTACAGTTTGTCAATCTGTCCGCCCACACGATGCCATCCATGAGCCTGATTTGCGGCGAATTCGTCAAATCTCTGCTCACCCCGGCGGACACAACCTCGAGACACTCTTCGCAGCCCGGAGGCAATCTCGGAGTCACTAACGGGGATTCCAATGGCATCAATGGCAATGGTTTGTCGCACACCGATAGCGATGATGAGGAGGAGGAGGTCGTAGACGAGGAAGAACTAGAGGAGGGTGAGGTGAGGAGGCCCAAAGTGGGAGCCACCCGAAAATCCTTGCTGGAACAGAACGAGAAGCTGGAAGATCAGCTATCCGGCTTGGATGTAGACCAACAGGCATTGGACAATCGATTGAAGATCATTGGGGCTCTGAGAACCAAACTAAAGTTATGAATATAATCAAAGTTAGTAGTTGTTTTTCTGTAGAAAAGAAAAGTTTAAAATTCTTCTATTTTTTATAAGAAATTGATAATAAAAGTGCTTGTAAAAAATGGGCTCTTGTTTATTTCCTTCTTTGTGTGTTTATTGATGAAAACGCTTTTCTAATTAGGTTCCTAAACTAATGACTTTGATTTTTATTTTCACATGGTTTACAGTGTACAGATTAAGGTGATGATTCAAAAGTGATTTTTTTAAATTAAAGAAAACGCCGGCGAGGTATTAGGCCGGCATGGGAGAGGACATTGTAGATTTCCATGCGGGGGATTTTTTCAGCTTGGCGATCATAGACCTGAAATGAAAATATAAACAATAATTGAGTTTTATTTTAAAAATTAGAATTAAAAAAATTCTATAGGAAATAAATTACGTATACGACATGTGGACAAAAAATTACGCATACGACTCGTTGCCCCAAAAAACTAAGCTTTCATTTTTTATTTTTTTTTAAAGTAAAAAGTAAACTTACCACTTCTTCACCTGGTCCGAACCAACTAGATCTGGCCAGGGCATCCCTCACCCGCGGTGTTTTGTAGAAGGGATTCTGGAACTGTTGGGGTAGTGTCTGTTCCCAGGCTGCATTCTCCACCACTGCTATATGTTGCAGATTCCTCTGTGGCCGGGCTTCAATTAGAGTGCTAATGGCCATTATAGCCACAAAGAGACTGGACCAGATGAGACGACCGGGCAGGTGGCACCTTGAACAAAAGTGAAAAAAAAAAAGAAGATCACGCCTCGTTGGATTGGGCTGACTGACTGACAGATTCCACTTGCTCGACTTAAATTATTATGAAGATCATTGCATAATTGTGGCGTGCATATAATATTACAAGTTTCCGCCTGTCACGAATACACACGCATCCCCACCGCCATCCACGCATCCAGTCCACGCCTAAATGACCGCTTTTCACTTACTTGGCCGGTGCCCGGTGCCCGGTGGCCGGGACAACTTTGTGGTCAAGTCAGCTGACTGGGCAACAACTTGTGGTAGTGCTACCAATATGGCTTTTTATCAAAAAAATTTTAAAGGGTTACAGGGTTTAAGAAGTTGAATTGAGGAACAAATCTTTAAAATATATTATTTTAAATCATAATATTATCTCTTAAAATTTCAAGCATCACTATCTGTGGCAGTGGCAGTTTCTGTTTGTCTGCAACAGCAAAAGTCGGTTGTCATGTGTCTGCCATTTCCTAGATGTCGCGTGCTGCGTAGCGAAAAACTTCACTTACACTGCAGATACATTCGTTTTGTATGTTTTTTTTTTTAAACCAACTTGCAGTTTGCGGCCCACTTTGGCTGCAAAAAGATCCCTGATCTTTGCTTTTAATTGGATAACCGGCAGTGAATATATGCGACGAGCTACCTACCACCACAGAGACTCTTGTTTCTGGCCGGTGATGTAAGTTTTGGACTTGATATTGCCACTTGCGGCACTTGCGCTTTCGATATGAGTGGTTTTTGTTTTAAAAAGTGTCTGCTTGGTGTGTATGCCGCCCTTCAGTTAACTTGCTAACTCATGGCTTGCCGATGGTTCATGGCATTTTTTGAGGCAGAAAGATGGACAAAGCCGGGCCTGATAATGAGATTTTTATACAGTTGACGTTGAGGTAAGTACGGGTATGATGCAACATCCAGGGCCAAAAGGGCTTGAATTGAGAAACTGGCCATTTGAAAGCAAAAGGATATTTTTGGGAAAAATAGTAGAAGAATTACACATACTGGGAGAATTACTAATATTGGATACTCTGTTGATTGGGATTAAAATTCCCTTTCAAAAATCAACAATATATAACATTGTTGTATAACTCTAACAAGGACCTTACTTTTTTTTGGCAACCCAAAGAAAATAAAAAGGATTTTAAGAATGATAGAACCAAACTACTATTTTTTTAACTCCCATTCTAGGTATATTTCCAAACCATTTTCTATAAAAAATTCAGTTCACTGACCCATCCAATTTCGGACACCACTCGTGGTCACACCCAACTGATGTCCCATGACTTGATGTCGGTGGTGCATTTCGCCTGCGGTTGCTATCCAAGCGGTTGTAGCCGGTGGTGGCCGGGTCTGGATTATGCAATTCTGCCGTTTTGCGCATGCGCAAAAGACGCCAGCCTTCCCAGTTCCTGCCCCTGTCCTCCTGCCCCCTCTGCCCCTGCCGAAAATGTGCTGGCATTTTCAGGTTTTCTTTACTTATTTTGTATACCAACTACCTTTGTTGTTGTTGTTGGGACAGGGGATTTCGCTGGGACAGCTACTTACTTACAAGATACAAAAGCAACTACAACTATTTACGTTGCTGTTGTTGGGTCTGATTAGGTCAATGGAATCCAATTGGCGTCAACGCCGCACCACAACGCGTCGCTGCAGTTTTTCGCTTTTTTACATTCATACAGACATACGTGGGGATATATATCAGTATATAGCTCCATGCCATTCCATTCCAGCATTCCAAATTTGGGTCATGTGGTTAATTGACAAAGATTGACGTATTGTGTATTATTGTTATTCTACAACGTCCACAAATTTGTTTATATTTTGCATACAATGAGGAAATATGCTTCACGCATCTGTTACAATTTTCTTTTCTCGCTTCTCGGTTTGTGGGAGCAAAAAACTGGGGCTATAAATTGGGTCGGTTGGATCGTAACCGTTATTAGGTGAAAGGTCGCAGGAGAACCTTGGCTACAGAGCAGAAATCTCAATCTCTCCCAAAAAATTAAAAGTAGTATATGCCTTGCCCTGCACTTAATGCTCATTACATGTTTTTTTACTATGCTTTTTTTTATGCCCTCCAATGGGGCAATGATCGTTAATTTTTTCGAAAGTGTGAACTTTTTAAACCGTTTCAAGGTTGCCTTCGTTGAGGATGTTTTTTCCATCATCATCCGTTTTATGCACATTTCATTTCCCCATGAAGTTTTTAATTAAACCTCTTTTATTACACATTATAATTGAAAATCTTTTTCTTAATAGGAGGGGATGTGGTTATTAATAATTTTCATAAAACGAAAATTGGTTATACTTGTTTTTAAATATTAGAGGTATTTTTAATAAAAGAATACTTTTAAAAAGATTAAAATTTGGTACATTTATTTAAGCTCAGGACCATCAATCTTATACTTCTTCCCAATATTTCTAGAACCATTTGATAATTTTCACGGCATTAAGAGCATATCTCTTAATTTTTTTTGTGATAAATATTTAATTTTTGTTTTTAATTTACGGTTTAAACCAACCCACTTTAAATTAATTACCAAATATCACTTTCCAATAAATTACTATTCAATAATGCCCAATTACCGAATTGACCAATTTTCACTTTCGTTCGAAACCAGGTAGGTGAAAAAAAGTGTGTCAGCCTTTAAGACCACGTAGCGCGAGCCGTTAACTCCCTCTGCCCACCCCCTGCCACGCCCTCCCATCTACCACGATTGTGGTCAATATTGATTTGCGGTCATTGCGGATCATATTTATTAGCCAAATGGCGTAAGTGGTGGCCAACAGCTAAAGACTCGTTTGTTTTGTGTCTTCACACGGGTTAATTGAAAATGCTGTATAGCACAACAATCGTAACAATTTTTCGGATATTGCATTCATATAATTTTTCGTAAAGTTTATTGTTAAAAATAGTCTTTTTTTATTATGAATTTGATTTGGTTTTCGTAGAGTCTTTTTTATATTTTTTTTTGGGCATTTTTTCGCATTTGTTAAAAAAACGTGACCGTTAAACTAAATTATGTGTTGAGTACACCCGTCGAGAGATTTTTTTCGATTTTATGCTTGTCAGTCAATGTTGTGACGGTATTGTTGTAGTAACGGCTGCTCTTGTGATAGGTCAAGTTGTTTATGGGCTTTTTTCATTGTGGTTGGTATAGTGTTTTTTGTCACAGATTTTCATTGATCTTTGGGTGGCGGCAACCGCAGCAAATTTTTAAATTGCTCTGGGATCATACCCATTTTTTATAGCTTTTATTTTTAAAATTATGCAATTTTTGTGTCGTCTTTAAGGAGTCTTTTGGCACACATTAAATTAGTTTTAGTTATTTAGTCTTAAACTATAGTATATTCACTCCACAACATTCAACAACTCACATTTTTAATTTGTTGAGTAATTTTTTTTTTTAATATTTAATTTCAGGATATAATGTTTTTTACTTAATCGCGTAATGACCGTTTAGTTTTCAAGACCCGTCAGCAGTTGTGGATTTGATCGCGGCCAATTGGCAACTGAATTTAAGTTCGCCTCCAGTCTGTTAACCAACAGACAGAGACGGTCCGAAGCCGGAGATCGGATCCGATTGCAGGTTTTGGACACAACTTGAAAGTTTTCAAAACTTAACAAAAAAAGAAACGACAAGCTATACGAAAATGAAAACGAAAACTCAACGAAGCATACGACAAAAGCTGAGTAATCATATTTTTTTAGGGAAAATTTAAGCTGGGGTTAAGGGATTTTCTTCTGCTTTTTATGGGCCTATGATTATAACAATTAATCAAAAAATTTACATTTTAATTGCAGGTTTCATATATTTCATAAACTTGCTTCTTATTTTACAAATCATAGCTCATATTCTGTTTAGTTTTTATTTTATTTACATTAACTATTTTTATACACAATAAAGGTGCCCTAAGTTTTAACAAATAATCAACAAATAATATTATTTATGCCCCATTTACAGATCCCCTTTTAAAACAAAGTTATCCACAAAGTCCTGAATCATATCCACCATACGATTTCGGTAGAGCTCATCAGAGTTAAAGGCCTCCAGACAGATCTCGATCCGTCGATTACTGAAGAAGTCATTGAAGCCATCGGCGGAGCTGGTCAACTTTTGGGTGCAGGAGGACGGGAGCATGACCAGGTGGCAGAAGAGGCAGCTCTCGATCAGTCCAATACTGCGGAACTCCTGCACCGAATCGAAGAAACTCTTCTCTGGTATGAACCGAGCTATATCCAAGTCGGCTCTCTTGAGAAACTCTCTCATGAAACTATAGTACTGAGCCAGTAACTCGTTGAGATGTTGATCCCGGAACTGCTTGGAAGTGGGTATGGTGAGGACAGTGATAACATCCAGGGCTGGAGGAGCATACCTAGCCAGTTGGAAGTCAACTATTCGGCACTGAAACGGAGTCTCTCCATATTTGCCATACTGGAACATAATGTTGTTGGCCCACAGATCACCATGAAGCAGAGTGTTCTGGTACTTCTTTGAAGTCTTGACAGCCTCGAAGATAAACGACATCTTCTGGGTAAAGTTCTCCAGAATATATTCAAGCTTGGACTCATATTTGGGTATCAGTTTTATGAACTCCTTTAGCACTTTGCAAGCGTTATTGAAGTTCACCATCCTAAGATGATTTGGCTTTACTCCGAGAGGATAGGCATTTTCGACAACCGCCTTTGGGTGGGATTCTGGTAGCTTCTTTCCAGTTCTTTGCTCCTGGATAATGGATCCGGCATGCATGGCAGCCAGGGTTTTCAGGCAACATTGCAGCTGTCGGTAGTCGAGCAGTCCATCACGGCCGGCGCCCATGCGGTAATCCTGATCCGCCAGATTCTCAAATACCAGCAGGTTTTTATCCGCGTAATAGCAATTGGGTGCTACTGGGGCGCAGGCCTTCTGAAGCTCGGGTAGTACATCCTTGTAGACGGCAATCTCCTTCTGGAACACCCCAAAATCCTCCAGATACTCCATTCGTGGTCCATTGCCCTCGGGAGCTGCCTTCGAGAAGAATGTCAGCTGCTTCCGTTCCTCGGGATCGTGAAGTTGTACGGTGACCTGCAGGTAGAAGTGACTGCCCAGATATCCAGCCGGGGCATCTGACGTGGACTTGAGTTCATAGCTAATTATATCGAAGCCCGGGTCCGAACTGGGCACATCCTGATGTAAATATCGCTGGCATAATCCGCGAATTTCGCTGGAGCTAAGTACCAGTTCGGTAGCCATCTCAACGGTAGAAAAGTCAACTGTTAAGATTTTCCGTGTGTTCTCGGCGCTTTATATTCCCTAATGTTTGACTTTCACTCTACAGCCGAGACTATTGTAAATTTTTTGGAGATAAAGAAGAATCCGTGTTTGCATTCCCCCAAGCGGGGTAATACCCTTTTAAACAATAGCAACGAAAATCTTTTTTGTCTTATTTGCTTTCAGCCTAGACAGGGAATAAATTAAGGGTCGGGTGTTTTTTATTTTTAATAGTAGCGAGACTGATATTTCATCTTTACCGACAGTTTTAACCACAATTTTTCCTACAGTGTTAGAAAAATTATATTGTCTAAATATTTATCAAAATCTTCCTAGTTTATTTACTTTATAAACACGCCTTATAAACACGCCACTCACACTTCCCAGTTGGCAACAAATTGCTAGGATTTCGTGGGGATAAATTATAGGGCTTTACAAGTGTGCTTATCAAACAAACGTTGACTTATATTAGTTAGTATCACAATTAAGAAAAGTTTACTTCACCAAATGTTAATCCAAAGCTAAATGTTTATTTAATTCCCCGTGCGTGTTAGCTGGCTGGGAAAATAAGCATATGACGAAATAGAACGAGATGAATAACCTAGATATTTGACCGAAACCTGGTCATAATTCAGTTACATATTTTAGAAACATAGCAGTTGCATAAGAGACCTCAAAGGGAACACTACCAGTATGAATTTTAGTAGAATCTTGGAGGAATACCTGAAGAATTCCACTTTGCATGGAGCCAGATTCATTGTGGACAAGGATGCCAGCTGGATAGAAAGGATTTTCTGGGTTCTTTGTTTGGTTGTGTCTTGGTATGCTTCATGGCTGCTTATTAAAGCTTCTTTAAGTGAGTGATTATGAGTATGAGCTTTAAGGATTATCTATAAAATATTATAATTCAGGTGCCTTTGAGAATAATGCCATTAGTTTCGTGGTAGAGAGTTCCTATCGCGATTGGAGCACCAATTTCCCAGCCATTATAGTTTGCGAGTCAAAAAATATGGATAGGATTCAAGAAGTGGCAGAGCAGTGAGCTTACAAAATATCAATTTTTAACTAATATATTTATATATTGTATTCTAAAGATTATGGGGCTCTGATCATGACTTCACCTTGGAGGAAGTTCTCAGTGAGATTGCCTTCTTTCGTGGGGAGTCCTACCACACAGTTCACGAATGCAGTGGCCCGGATTCGACCACCTCCTGTTTCTATTCAAACTTCTCCTATTATGCTGAGTTGGTCAGAAGCAGCTGTGTGGACTCCATCAGCAATTGCGAATGGAACAGCAAGCCCTTTGAGTGTTGCAAGTACTTTCATCGCATGGAAACCGAGCTGGGTATTTGTTATGCCATTAATTCACTCCAAGCTGGGTAGGTATTTATTTTTTTAATTTTTATTAAATCTTTTCTAAGTATATATATCTTTAGGAAAAACAAGGGCCCAAAGCTTAACATGTACTCGAATCGTTACACCGGTCCGGGTACTTTAAAAATGGAATTGCATACGGAAGCCACGGTAAGTTTAATACAAAAATTGGTAAGAAGACGAAACTTAACGAAGGTAACATCCTAAAAGCATGCTATTCACATTTGAAAAGCTTCAGCCATGGCTATTTTAATTGTTTTTTGTAAAAATAATTGTTTTTAATATTAAAGGTCTTCATTTTGGGCACAGAGGAGGTACCCACATTGGTTACACCCAAAACTGACTTCCTAGTGGTTGGTCCTTACATATCCTTTGTGTAAGAAAATATTAATAATACTATCAATTTATATAATTATATATATAAATTTTCAGTCGATATATCTCAAAACGTGACATCGAGAACGACGAGGAGATTCGCCAGACTAGTGTCCATCAAAGAAATTGTCGCTTCGCTGACGAGAATATCCTGGGAGTACACAACTATTACAGCTACAGTGCCTGTACAGTGCAATGTCGCAAAGATCGACAGATGGAGCTGTGTAACTGCTCCAGCCACCTATCCCCTAACTCCCCCGACTGGCAACTGTGCAACATGGACGGTCTGGAGTGCCTCAACCGGAACTATGAGGATCTCTCGGTCATCATTGCCAAATGGTCGAAGCGTCGTGGTCGCAAAGGTCTGGTCTGTGACTGTCTGCCTTCCTGCACGGAGGTGGACATAACCACGGTATATGACAGCAAGGATACTATGACAGGAACACAGGCCATTTCCAGGATTGAAGTGGGATTGATTGAACTTCCTACGGAGCGATATAAAAGGAACTTGGTTCGTGGCAAGCTGGATTTAGTGGGTGAGTTTATTTCTAAAATCTATCAATATTTATTCTAAAATATTTCTTTTTCTATTCTACAAAGTATCTATTGGTGGCACTACGGGTCTCTTCGTGGGTGCAAGTCTTCTTAGCTTTGTGGAAATTATTTATTACATCACTATTCGGCCGTATTCCACTTACATGTACGAAAAGTATCGACTTAGGCGACTAATGTTGCCCAAACGATTTCACTAGAATATAATTATCAAATAAAACTTAAAGTGATTATGCATTACTTAAGATATTTGTATGATTTTGTATTTATGATGACAAATTAATGGAAACATGAACATTCTTCTAAGAGCTCCACCTCAAAAATATGGAAAATGCATGGGAGCCCAATATCACCCACCGCGAAGGCCATATCTTTGCTAATTTCTATCTGATCCTTGAGCGGAGTACCTTAATCGATTTGTGGAGTGATTCTCCATTAATCTGCATCAAAATCTGGATACAAATTATTTTTGCACTTTTTTGTCAATTTTTCTGATGGGTCCCCTTCAAAAATGCTGAAAATGCATGGGAGCCCAATATCACCCACCGCGAAAGCCATATCTTTGCCAATTCCCATTTGATCCTTGAGCGGAGTACCTTAATCGATTTGTGGCTCGATTCTCCACCAATCTGCATCAAAATCTGGATACAAATTATTTTTTCACTTTTTTGTCAATTTTTCTGATGGGTCATCTTCAAAAATGCTGAAAATGCATGGGAGCCCAATATCACCCACCGCGAAGGCCATATCTTTGCCAATTTCCATCTGATCCTTGAGCGGAGTACCTTAATCGATTTGTGGCTCGATTCTCCATTAATCTAAATCAAAACCTGGAAACAAATTATTTTTTCACTTTTTTGTCAATTTTTCTGATGGGTCCCCTTCAAAAATGCTGAAAATGCATGGGAGCCCAATATCACCCACCGCGAAAGCCATATCTTGGCCAATTTCTATCCGATCCTTAAACGGAATGCCTTTATCGATTTGTGGATCGATTTTCCATTAATCTGCATCAAAATCTGGATACTATTTATTTTTTCACTTTTTTGTCAATTTTTCTGATGGGTCCCCTTCAAAAATGCTGAAAATGCATGGGAGCCCAATATCACCCACCGCGAAAGCCATATCTTTGCCAGTTTCCATCTGATCCTTGAGCGGAGTACCTTAATCGATTTGTGGAGTGATTCTCCATTAATCTGCATCAAAATCTGGACACAAATTATTTTTTCACTTTTTTGTCAATTTTTCTGATGGGTCCCCTTCAAAAATGCTGAAAATGCATGGGAGCCCAATATCACCCACCGCGAAAGCCATATCTTTGCCAATTTCCATCTGATCTTTAAGCGGAGTACCTTAATCGATTCGTGGAGTGATTCTCCATTAATCTGCATCAAAAGCTGGACACAAATTATTTTTTCACTTTTTTGTCAATTTTTCTGATGGGTCCCGTTCAAAAATGCTGAAAATGCATGAGAGCCCAATATCACCCACCGCGACAGCCATATCTTTGCCAATTTCCATCTGATCCTTGAGCGGAGTACCTTAATCGATTTGTGGCTCGATTCTCCATTAATCTGCATCAAAATCTGGATACAAATTATTTTTTCACTTTTTTGTCAATTTTTCTGATGGGTCCCCTTCAAAAATGCTGAAAATGCATGGGAGCCCAATATCACCCACCGCGAAAGCCATATCTTTGCCAATTTCCATCTGATCCTTGAGCGGAGTACCTTAATCGATTCGTGGAGTGATTCTCCATTAATCTGCATCAAAAGCTGGACACAAATTATTTTTTCACTTTTTTGTCAATTTTTCTGATGGGTCCCGTTCAAAAATGCTGAAAATGCATGAGAGCCCAATATCACCCACCGCGACAGCCATATCTTTGCCAATTTCCATCTGATCCTTGAGCGGAGTACCTTAATCGATTTGTGGAGTGATTCTCCATTTATCTGCATCAAAATCTGGATACAAATTATTTTTTAACTTTTTTGTCAATTTTTCTGATGGGTCCCCTTCAAAAATGCTGAAAATGCATGGGAGCCCAATATCACCCACCGCGAAAGCCATATCTTTGCCAGTTTCCATCTGATCCTTGAGCGGAGTACCTTAATCGATTTGTGGAGTGATTCTCCATTTATCTGCATCAAAATCTGGATACAAATTATTTTTTCACTTTTTTGTCAATTTTTCTGATGGGTCCCGTTCAAAAATGCTGAAAATGCATGGGAGCCCAATATCACCCACCGCGACAGCCATATCTTTGCCAATTCCCATCAGATCTTTAAGCGGAGTACCTTAATCGATTCGTGGAGTGATTCTCCATTAATCTGCATCAAAAGCTGGACACAAATTATTTTTTCACTTTTTTGTCAATTTTTCTGATGGGTCCCGTTCAAAAATGCTGAAAATGCATGAGAGCCCAATATCACCCACCGCGACAGCCATATCTTTGCCAATTTCCATCTGATCCTTGAGCGGAGTACCTTAATCGATTTGTGGCTCGATTCTCCATTAATCTGCATCAAAATCTGGATACAAATTATTTTTTAACTTTTTTGTCAATTTTTCTGATGGGTCCCCTTCAAAAATACTGAAAATGCGTGGGAGCCCAATATCACTTACCGCAAAAGCCAAATCTTTTCCAATTTCCATCTGATCCTTGAGCGGAGTACCTTAATCAATTTGTGGAGTGATTCTTTATTAATCTGCATCAAAAGC